CCAACTGTGACTGGAAGAGTCTACATTCCTAAGATAAGAAGACTGTGACCTGTAAAGAAGATTTCTATCCGGACTACAGTGAAGTATACAGAGTGTGAAGTGTTATTTTTTTCATGAGAACGTCCGCTGTTGCACTTGTACATCCTAATTAAAGCTGAATCTCACCTCACAGTGCTGCATCAGCAGCAAAAAGTTGTACATTTTCTCTAACTTCTCAAGAACCTTCCTACAGTCAAACAAAATGTACAATTGCTGGTAGTCAACCGATGAGTCTAAACTGGTAGTGAGTTTCAACATGAATATGATTGTTTAATTCTCGTCTTTTTCTTTGTCCTGGCTGTGGCTGATTGGAAAGCTTTCTAGCTGTCCCAGCCCTGACAGGTTGGGACAGGCTCCAGCCCTTTCCAACCACAGCACTCTGAACATTGACAATGGGGCTGGATTTTATTTGGTCAATACTTAAGGTAAGTATTAGCAAACCAAAATACTTCTCTTTAAATCAATTAAAGTAAATAGGACCTTTGATTTGATATAACATTTGATAAAACATTATTGTCCCATGGCTCACTTAAGTAATTCATATAACTGCTGATTGCTGTTATGTGTGGAGATGATGATAAGGACGCTGGAATATTCTGCTCTGGGCCTGTGACTAAAGAGAAATCATAATCTGACTCACAACTTGACATATTTTCAAACCTATGTGGCCTAAAACAACAGGGTTGTGTTTTTAAGTTTTTAACTCTCTTTGAGGAAGCCCAAATATATGCTCTCAATACAGAATTCTTTCTTTTTTTCTTTTTCAAAATCTGTTTCAACACAAACAGGAAGGACCTGGGAGACTAACTGGCTAGCAAGTTAAAGAAAGCCTTTGGGGACAGAACAAAACCAAAGAAAACAAAACGAAACAAAGCCCTTATTACACATGATTCTAAGTAACACATGCATTTAATTTTTATTATTAGCTTCGCCATAATGACTGCAACTCTTTCTTTGTAAAACATATCCCATCTCTTGTAACCATCAAATCTTTCCCTGCTATTGTAACTTGAATTACGTTAAGTAAAGGCTCTATGTTTGTGTTCAGCTGCTCTACTTTAGATTCAAGGTTGGTTTTAGTCACAGTTACAGACTGCCCAAAGTTGCATTTTTTCCCCAGTCACTTTCCTGTTTCCTTGCCATTTCACCCTCAGGCTTCAGAAGGCCCTTGTCCTGCTGACAGATCTTTTGTTCTCTGCAGGATAAAACCATCACACAAACTCAAGCAGACCATGTGGCTTTGAAAAACACTGCTTTACAACTGTGGCATAATATGTTGCTTCAGAGGCTGATGAGGAAACAAGCAAGAAAAAACAAGCATGCAGCACAAAAATACGGAACATGAGAACAGGCTTCTTCCTTTCTTCCTGTAATTTCATGTAAACAGACCTTTACTTTCTTCATGATATTGTGTCGATTCATCTCCCAGTTTATGGTTGAAAAACTTTACTAAAGTTAAACCAAATTTTGGTGTCTGCATGAGTCTCCATGCCTTCACTTCCAAATTTTGAAGGAATAAAATAGTTAGTTAATTACTCTGCCACTATATAAAAATTAATATAAGAGTGAATTCAACTAAATGGTTCCAAAAAGATTGGTGTATTCTTTAAAACAAAGGTAGTGCAGATATAAATAATCATATTTACAACATAATTCAAATCATGTCATGGTGGAAAATTTTGAAATGTTATGTTATAGAATCTTAAAGCAATGTTGCAAGGGCTGTAGTCATTTTGCAATTAACTGATGTTTTTTTTTCCTTTGATTATCTCCATTCAGACTTGTTTTTTGTTTCAATACATCCTATAACCATATACTTTATGATTTCTTCACCCTTGCACATTATCTTTTCCAGATGAGCAACTTGTATCAACTTTAATGCCCATATTAAATGGAGCCGACTTTGTGCTGACGTCAACTCTCCCTTGCAAGTTATTAAAATGTCTGGGTTGAGTTTTAAAAAAAGTCATTTAAACTGATGCTTGTCAACTCTACCCTGGCCGTGCTCTGGACACTTTCAGGTTATGGCAGTTTATCTGACTCCCTCTCTGGTGTTCATTTGTGAAAGTGCATCAGTGAAATTAGAAACCCTCCTTTTTTCAGAAATCTATGAAGTTCCGCTTTGATATTAGCTACCATTAAAAATATTAAGTGCCATTGGAATTGTTTAGTGACATCTACTAATTGTCAATAATCTAAAGTAAGATTTAAAAAAGCGTAACATATGATCACTTCTAGCGTTTTGAACACATGAACAAATGTCCAAAATGGTCCCACAGGATAATTGTATGAATCACTGAAGATATTATGTTTTTCATAGAAAAACAGGAAAAGTACAGGTGTAAATAATTTACAGAAGCTCCATTAAAAAGTTCAACAGCTGGTTGTATGCCACTGGACCCATGCCATAGCTCACTAAAGATACCACAACACACCAGTGCTTTTTTTCAGCCATGATATCTAAAAAAGATCTGCTGATCCTGCTGGTATGTTGAATGTTTCTATGAAATTGAAAAACAAAAGCAATAAAACATGTAACAGAAGACACATTGAAAACATTCTGGTAATGTTCCCCTCTTGGATTCATGAATATGCATGCTAAATATCGTGCAGTTCACATGAGCGCTAAAAGAAAGATAAAAAAAAGAAAAGAAAAACTTTTTTTCTGCAGTTTAGCCCAAAATAAAACAGATCACGTTTACTGTCTGCTCTGTTTCAAAACATACTTGAGTTTCCCTCCGTCAGCCTGTGAGTAACGCTGATTGTGAAAGAAAGGTGAGCGGATGACTGAGGGGGACTGTCACTTTAAGAACTTGCTCCCTGAACAAGCTGGTGATTTTCCACTCTAACTGAAATTAACGCGCATCAGCTCTTAGAAACAATGCGCTCCTAAAGAAAACAGATTAGGTTGGTTTAACTCGAGTCTATTTAAAGCAACAAAACAAGGAACATCAGGCTGCTTATTAGGTAATTAAGTATCTTCTTTACACGTGAATGAATGAATAAATTAGAATGAGGTAATGTCTTCATTTGAGACACGTTCGATTGAAAGAAAAAAGCGGAATCACTCACATTATTCTAATACATCGTTAATATTTTCTTTTGTTAAGTAGGAGGATTTGCTTTACTGTGATTAAACAGATTTGTTCTCTTTTACTTAGGCTTTTACTGAGTCCTTGTATTCTTTACCACGATTCTTCCGTAAGAAAAAAAAAACTCGGTTATAACCCGGCTGTAAATATAGCCTCAGTAAATGTTTTAGTTACAGAAGAAAAAAAATGGGGTAGATGTGGGCCTTTGAACCCAGCTTCCTGTGTTTATCTGATAAGACGGCGTTCCACGTTTCTGTCTGATCACTTTGGAGGTCTAGTGTGAGGCGTTCAAGTACCTCCAGGATTCCCAGTGACGTGATGCCAGACAGACATCTATGGCATTAAATATATTAACTATATATATATATATGGATGTGTGTGTGTGTGCATGCTTGTGTATACATTTTCCACAGTCACTTAGTGACTAAATGAACGAGTGCATGAATCTGTGTTTATTTTCTTACCCCTGTGTGAATGATGTAGTAGGTCTGATGAAGTAATACGTTTACAAACTTATATCTCAAGCTAAGTGATGCATACTTAACCTACTTCTGTGTCTGCCTTGTCCAGAGTGTCCAGAGTATGATGGACTGACGTGTAACCCCAATCCATCCTCTCAGCAGATAAAGTCTAAGGGGCTGCGTTATCTATATTTAGTAGTAGCTGCTTGAAATACGGTCCCCAATGTGATTGACAGTTCCTAAGTAATTTTAAGACATAAGTTTTAAAATGTAATGTCACATTTTCTTATGATATACAAAAAAAGCTGTTGGTTAAACTACATTTGTTTCAGTGTAATGAAGTTATGCTTGAAAATAATTTTCTTTGATTAAGAACTCTAACTCAATTCAATTTAGCTGACAAATATCTACTAGAATATCAAGGATTGCAATTCCCAAGGGTCAAATGCACACAACCCTTTTTGACATGGTCTTCTTTAAGCTAAAACTCAGAACCAAAGCTTATGATTCTGCTAGAGGAAATAGTCACTGGATGTGGTTGAATGGCCATGACTGGATGGAATATTTATTATCTAGAAAATAAACACTGACAATATTGTTTCTAAAACTCTACCAGAGGTTACACGATAAAGATAGCACACAAGTGTGACGGTGGCTGAAATATGACAAACTATTAGTTCTCAAAGCTCAGAGGTGTTAAAGGATTGTGTATGTGTGTTTTTAGTGTTTGACTGACAGGTTGTCATCTTCTGATTTTTGTTTTCTTATTTAACTTGCTAATCCTGTGTATGAATCTCTTGAGTTATTCATTGTGTGCCGCTGCCAGCAGCTTTTGTGGAGCCATTGTGAGCTCTCGGAGCAGTGACCAGTATCTAAACAGAGTCTGCACAGGCCGAGAAGATACATGACCTTATTAGGCTTTGTTATAAGCCGATTCTGTGCTTGTTTACATTTCCTAGATAATGAAACACACGTTATGGGATGGATTAAAAGAAAACAAATTCCACCTTTCAAATGGTTCCTCTATGCTCTTCAACAAAACGGCTTTCGGCCTTTCATGTTTGGAAGCTCATTGTGGATTTGAGTTTCATATTACAGCATAGTTTGAATTTTTATAAAAATCATCCCTTTGTTGGAGATCATAAATCAAGATCCACCCCCAGTAATGTGCAGCTCAGTGTCTCTTGTGCTCTGAAATGTACTCTCTGTGCCCAACATGAATAAGAAGTGTGTGTGTGTGTGTGCGCGCGTGAGTGAGTGTTGCCTGTGTGACACTCATTCGTTCCCTACCACTGAGCAGTGTGCGTGTTTGTGGGCAGGGTGTAGTGAGAAGTGGAAATTTACAGTCTCCCATGTTGGTACCTGAGTTGTCTGTCAGAGCGAAACTGCACCCAATCTCAACGTTGGATTTAATTGTCTTTAGCCAAGGGGCGGGCCCTACTGTCCGCTCCACTTCTTGTGACTCGTGTGTGCATAAAGACACTCAGTACAGAGGAATGGTGACAGCTGAGAGAGAGGAACACTATACATAGTTGCAGCCATGAAGGAAATGTAAGTTTTCAAAATTGCTTTGCGGGTTAACTTCTTTGGGTATGTATGTGTTCAGTCAGATGTTTCTCTTATTAGAAATCGTCAAAAATAGTATAATGTTTGTTGTTTTTTATGTTGATAGATTTTTTGTGTATATTTTAAGCTTAAATACATTAAAGAAGTGAGATTTACTGAATTCAAAGTCAGCTATTTAGTTTTTTTCTCCTGCTACTGTAATGGAATGTATATATATTGAGCTGAATCACATAGGCAGATTCTGATATACGCTATCCTCAGTGAGGAAGGTTAGGTTAGGTTAGGAAGGGATAACAGAAGGAGAGAAACAGGATGAGAACGAGTATACATGAACTGATCCCGTTACATAAGCAGGTTTGAAAATCGAAAGCAGTTTGCGTTGACTTATCTTGCTCAACAGGAAGCGAGAAATCCTAGAAAAAGCATGGGACACAGTGCAAACACTGTGTAAATTCAATAAGGAGACACATCCTTCTAAATGGGGATGTAAAAGCTGGTTTGTGTTTAAAGTCCAGGGGGCGAAATTCTTTCTAATCACTGTCTTGATGTTTATTGTGTTGTTAAAGTTTTTTTAATAAAGCTTTAGGTTATTTGTGTCTTGCTTAAAGGGTTCTGTGTGGTAACTCTAAAGGGTCCCGTTTCAGCAGAGACTTCTTTCTGAGCATGTTTTTTTGCCTTAACTTAATCAGTCCTAATTTGATTTTCGATGGTTGAAAGAGTAAAAGGGAAGTGGCTGCATACTCCTTCTCTATTTAGACTTAGCTAAAAGAAGAAGAAGCCTCTGTCAGACATGTAACCTGTAACTTGCCAGCAATAGTGTGTTCTCATTGTGCCTTTTCTGTTTTTTTTTAAATACAAGTTTACTGCTAGCTTCCGTTACATTACATTTCTTGGCATGACCTGTATGGTTATTCCTGTCGTATTAAGGTTTCTTTCTTTCTCGTTGGCTCTTGTGGGGAAATTGGATACCCTGGTCAGTAATAACAAATCCTATCCTTCTTGGAAAGGCAGTTTACAGTGTAAACTCTGAAGTGAACTTAAGCTGTTGCAGCTTCCTGAGAGCAAGGAAGTGTAGATGGTTTATCCTCTTCACTAAGTTTGGCTGACTCACTGATAAGAAAAAGCTAAAGGTAAATCTGTCCCTGAGGCAAGGTCTTTAAAGCATTTATTCTTCTGAGGTGTTGACATCCTGTTCCCTTCAGTGACAATGTGCCCGCCTCTGGGCAGAAGGTCCAGCCCAAAACCTGAAATGCTGAATATTTTTTGCGAATGCTGAATATATTTGTTTTTTTGAGCTGATTGTTTCCTATTTCGACAGATAAAGGACACTGACTTTGAGTTTTTTTTTTACACTTGAATTCTCCTCCCTCCTCTGTCAATGCAAAAAGGCTTTGTAGACATGTCTTCGGTCTGAATGACCTCCATACATGGGCTGCTCAGATTAGGAAGATTAGCAGCATTGTGCTGTATACCATGTGCGCACACAGCAAGCTGTAGCGCAGTCAGGACACAGTATTATCTCACTTAATGCTCCTGCCTGTCTGTCTGTTATTGCTCTCACCTTTGTTTGGCTCTCTTCACTGTCACATGTTCATTATTTTCTATCCCCTATCATTCTTTTCTAATTCGCAGCATGGCACAAAAGGAGAAACTTCAATGTCTGAAGGACTTTCATAAGGACACCACCAAACCTTCTCCAGGGAAGAGCCCGGGCACCAGGCCTGAAGATGAGGCTGAAGGAAAGGCCCCTCAGAGGGAGAAGTGGGCCAGTAAGCTCGACTTCGTCCTGTCTGTGGCCGGAGGCTTTGTTGGATTAGGAAACGTCTGGCGCTTCCCTTATCTTTGCTATAAAAATGGTGGAGGTAGGCCAGAAACATAAGAAGCTTGTGTTACATATGAAATGATGATTTGGCACAGTGATGTCTCATTCCGAAATAATTCCGGTGTGAATTCCTCAGGTGCATTCCTCATCCCTTACTTCATCTTCCTGTTTGGGGGTGGGCTGCCTGTCTTCTTCCTGGAAGTTGCACTGGGGCAGTACACCTCTGAAGGAGGGATCACCTGCTGGGCCAAACTCTGCCCCATATTCACTGGTCAGTAGAAACACTTCAACTTCATTTTTTGCCCCTGCTTCAGCCTTTCGCTGGTCATGTGAGCTTTCTGTTCTGCAGAGGTGTTCCTTACACAATAGTGCAGCTCGATTGGTATCCTCATTAAGTCTACTTCATATTGGGTAAACAACTGTAAAACGACTATTATAAACATTTGACATGATGTGTTCCCAAAGTTGCTTCAAAACCAGGGATCCTCTTTGGTTTGTAAACTTGTAAACAGACTACGGAACAAAATCCATTTGAGCTGCCTTAGAATGGTGACGTGTCATGCATCCGATCCGCATGAAAACCTTTTCTTTTTTCCACCATCTGCTTCTAATAATTTAGCGCTGTTCACGGGAGATTATAAATACTGCGTGTCCTCAATGACAGTGTCATCACAGATGGCCGACACCAGGACTTCTGGCTGCCTTTACATACCTCCCTATACCTTTTAGTGACAGCTGTAGACAAGCAGTGGGGCACCACACCCTGACCAGCTGACGCGTCACCCTCACTCATGTTATCACAAGGGAAGTCACATGAGAGCAGAGGAAACTTCACAAGTGCCGATGGACTCCATTTAAACTGCATTTTAAAGCGGGCTGAGGCTGCTGCCAGCCCATCTGTTGCGCGGTCTGGCTCAGTGGAAAGTTATCAAATAGGATAATAACGGATTCCCTTTTTTTCCCCAAACCTTTATATGTGCTTTATAAATCCCCAAAGTAAATACACGACTTTATTCGAAGCTTGCCAGCACGCTGCAAAAAAAAAAAAAAACGCACACACATACACACACCTGTCACAGGATTGACATGTTGGTCAGTTTGCTTTTTGGAATGCGGGAATGAGGCGGTGGGGGTGACAGAGATGATGAGTTTAAAAATACTCTGGAGTGGTGGATGAGCACCAGGGATTTCTGTGTTCAGGTTGGAGGCAAAGTCATCTAAAAATAACGTAAATACACCAAGGACATTATAACAGTTGAAAGTTCTCCCTTTACCAGTTTGGCTTTTTAGCTTAAGCCAGCTTTGTTAAGTTTAAAAAAAAAAAAGCTTGGAGAAACTCCGTATCACAAATAGGTGTGGCTAGAAGTGGGTTACACTGGATATCCATTTGAAGTCAACCATGTAAGGAACTTACTACCACATCACTGCAATAAGTTCAGAAGCTTAATCAGTGATTACCAGAGGGTTGCTAATGTTAAACCAACATGGGTAATTGTAGGTAAAATAGGGCTATCTACTGAGATGCCACCAGCTTAGTTTTACAGTCCTCTAGAGAAACACAGTTAATCACCAGCTAGAAAACACACTGGAGCAGAAAAAAGCCAACGAGCGAAGCAAGAGTCAAAGTAAAAATGTGTCTTTAGATCTTAACGTGACCAAAAATCACATAATTTTCTCTTTGTGTTTGTTGGATGTATACTTAAGTGTGCTTTTGTTGCTATGGAGAGATGAAATATCAGTTTCAGCTGTGCATGTTCAAACATATAAGAGAAATGGAAAGATACAGTAACTTAGCAGGTTTCTAATTCTTGCTTGCAGGTATCGGCTATGCATCTATCGTGATCGTATCTCTTCTGAACGTCTACTACATCGTGATCTTGGCTTGGGGACTCTACTACCTCTTTCAGTGCTTTCAGCCTGAGCTCCCTTGGGCAAAATGCAATCAGCCCTGGAACACAGACCGCTGCATAGAGGACACAGTTCGCAAGAACAAGACCCTCTGGCTGGCAGCCAATATTACCAACTTTACCTCCCCTGTCACAGAATTCTGGGAGTGAGTATTCACTGACAGCGTGTCCGCACACACACACAAACACAGCCTCTTTATCTAGCTTGCGTAAGCAGGTTTGAACAGGCACCATTTCTGCACAGTGCAGTTCACTTTGACAAAGTTCTACTGGCCATTTATCATTCACTTTGTTTATACTGGTACTCTTCATACTCTTTGAGTACAGCTCAGTGTCTAACATTAGTCATCAGTCTCAACTGAAACACTGACAAGAAAACTTTTTTTTATCTGTTGTCTTACAAGTCTCAAACTTATTACAGTTTACTGGAACAAAAGGCAAAAAAATTGTTTGTTTTGCATGGTACATTTGATATACCATATTTTCCAAGCAGCACAGTACTCCAAATCTGAGAAGGCAAAAGCAACAGACTAGCATAGAAAAGACAAAGCATGTGCCTGTTTGTTCTCTTTAGCATACTTTAATTTAACTTCCCATGGTTCTTATACATTGATGTACTCATTTCTGTTGTTTTATCTATGACATAACCCCTTCTGTTTCAAATTTTGCAAACTAATGTTCAAATTGCTTTCTTTGTTTCCTCTGCAGACGCAATGTCCTGAGTATCTCCACTGGGATTGAAGACATAGGGCCCCTGAAGTGGGACTTGGCTGTGTGTCTCCTGGCAGTATGGGTTATCTGCTTCTTCTGTATCTGGAAAGGAGTCAAGTCTACTGGGAAAGTGAGTGCTGAGGCGCATACACATCCTGTACTTATTATGTTGCCTAGATGTTGTTTGCCTTTGACTTTTCTATCCTTGCCAGCGATAAAACACACATTATTGCTCAGGGAAACCCCTGCATGATTAGAAAGGTTAAAGTTGTTAAGATGTCAGAGACACAAGCCTCCACGTTGTCTCGAAAGTTGCTTCTTGGCCAGACACACTGTCGACCGTTAGCAGATGTGGGCTGCTTCTTTGCCCTGTCTTTGTTCCTGTTAGCAGGTCAGAAACTGGGTCACAGTCTAAAGGAGCAACTCTAAGGAAAATGATTAACACTGTTAAGAATGATTTTAGGTCTTTATTTCCTGTAATGATAGGCTAAATTGTGTCACAAGAGTGCTAAATCTAATTAATGTTTAACCCCAATGAAGATCAGGAAGTGAAAATCATTCATACAGTGCAATTGCATCATGCTCGACTAGGCACATGTGAGAAAAGCACAGTTTTTGTTTGGGGGAAATAAAAAGAAATTGTCTATAACTATGATAGAACATCATCCTGAATAAGAGACTCTCAACATGCACACTTAGTTGTTAAATACATTAACAAAAGATTAGAAACTAGTTTTTCCAAAAAGAGAAGCAAACATTTTTTTGTTAAATGGTACCTTTATATTATATATTACATATTTTTTAACCACATCTAATGAGGATATACTTTTCTTTCCAGGTGGTGTACATAACAGCAACTTTCCCATTTGTGATGCTCATCATACTACTGGTGCGTGGTGTGACCCTGCCTGGTGCATCTGAGGGGATCAAATTTTACCTGTACCCTAACCTAACCCGACTCCAAGACCCAGAGGTATCAAACCTAATCTATTTTCTTGCTTCCTGCTTTAACTCCTTCATCATTATACATCCATACAAGTAATAACACAATAATATGATTCCTTCAGTGAAAAGTGTACATGAAAAGAAACATTTCTCATACATTAACTTTAGTGCAAACATGAAGCTAAAAGATCTACTGGTCTAAAGATGTTATCATAAAAACTCATGCTGAAGAAAAACTAAGCATCGAGAGAGAGGGCAATAATAATTCAACAAAAACTAACAAAATCAAGATAAGGTTCATAGTTTCCAGGATGGCGGCTTAAGAAAGAAAACAAGTAACAAAGAAATGGGAGAGGAGGATTTAGAAAATAATACAGCAGACAAAAGAAGCTTATTCTTTACGCAATGAATCAGTCAATAGAATACATGTGACTAGCTGCCAAAAAGCATATAAACATATGGGGTAAAAGTAATGGAATAAGAAACAAGATTAATATAAATACATGACAAATACATTGACAACACATAATAAAAATAAATCAAAAGCTACATTTGAGGCATTTTCAAAATTTTTTATGTCTGAACTATATGATCCAAGCACTTTTTTTCAGTAATATTCCTGTTTTGATTCTTTATTTGCCTACCATTTGTGTTTGTGCACTTTCACAAGCAAAGAAATTCATGGTTCATTATGACGAAAGCTTCAGGTGGATTCCTTTATTCTGTCTTGAAGCTCATGTACAAAAAATGGCTCATATGACAACTCGTTTAATTTCCGTTGTGGTTCATGGTTTGAACTGTATGGAATCTTTCAGCTAACGTTTTTTTTAATCACTTTTGTCTCCACAGGTGTGGATTGATGCAGGAACACAGATTTTCTTCTCCTATGCCATTTGCCTGGGCGCCATGACATCTCTGGGGAGCTACAACAAATACAAATACAACTGCTACAGGTGAGTTGTGTTTCTGCTGGGAGGAGTGGGACTGTTGTAGTGACGGCAACTCGTGTCAGAGACGGTTGCGTGAAAAGAAAAATGGGAACTTCGGTTCCGCTTGTGTTCATTAACAACCTCCATGACATATGTGTGACATAGGGACTGTTTGCTGCTGGGAGGCCTCAACAGCGGTACCAGTTTTGTGTCTGGCTTCGCAATATTTTCCGTCCTGGGCTTCATGGCACAAGAACAAGGGGTGGACATTGCCGATGTGGCAGAGTCAGGTACGAGGGTCCAAGGTTATGGCACAGTGATGGTGGGCACTGATGCCAAACTAAAAAAAACAGGAAAAAAAGAAGAAGAAAGGCCAATTGGAAATGTAAAAATTCTAATAGATATAAAAAGAGATAGGCAAAGTAGCGTGGTTTTCAGTCAGCATCGGACAAAAACGATGCCCAAACATAGAAGTTATCGGCAATTGCACACTCCTTGAATAAAAGCCTCAAACACAATTGTTCCTTCCGCGGGAAACATGCAACTTGTTCTCTGTGGGCACATTTCATGGCATCTGTCAAGCGTTGCGTGCCTTAGCTACACTCTGAGCTGTGGTTTGAAGGAGCTCCTTTATCGGCCCATCGTCACTATTACAGGTGTAGTAGGTGGAACATGTCCCACATTCAGCTTGCTTATACCAATAAGTAGCTCCATATCTTTCTGAGGGCAAGGGCATTGCTAAGAAGATTAGCATTGTTCAGTATGTAGGTGTGGAATGGCACTGATGATATTCCTGAGCAGCAGCACTGCACGGTAAGCCTAGTTCTGTTAAGCAGCTGTGGATCTCCTGAGGTTGACGCCATTGTCTCATTGCCGTCTTCCTGTATTTTCTATGTGGACTTCCAAGAATGTGACGTATTTGTGCACGCTTATGCTGTCCAATTGAAATAAAACACCCGAGTATATTGGGGAAAATTGTTCCGCCCTACTCTTTGGTTCTGTCTGAACAAATGAGTAAGTGGTCACATGTATATATGTATTTTTATTGGAATAATGACTTTTGCTTCAATGAACAAATGAGGTTCAGTTGCTGGCTGTGTCTGATGCTTTTACTCTATCCTGCTGAAATGATCTTTTTTGTGGAGATGACGCTAAATTACGTTCAATTTATTGTCACTGTGCACAGTAAGTACCAAAATGCAGTGTAGCGTCCAACAGATACTCTGTGCATTTGAAGAATTGCTGAAGAATTAAAGTTTTTCAGTTTTTCTCTGCATGTGAGGAAAGGGACTTAGCTTTGAGAACTCGATAGGTAATGATAACGATGCATTGTTTGTGGAGTAGAAATATTTTTAGAAAGTTGTATGCTATGTAGAAAAATGCAATATGACAAGTTTACTGTTGTTTCTTGTTGGACCTGCATGAAACTTTATGCAGGCCGCCTTTAAGTAGAAATGTTGGCATCATCTCATATTGTTCCCTCTGGCCATATTGAAAGTGCAGCATACTCCCCAGTTTGACTAATTGAGCATAATTTTCTAAGCCCCTTTGTTTTTCGTCCAAGCTGACATTTGACATAAGTGTTAATCATATCTTCTGACCCTTCCCCCCTTCCCTGATCTGTTCTGCCTCCAGGTCCTGGCTTGGCCTTCATTGCGTACCCCAAAGCTGTGTCCATGATGCCGCTGCCAACCCTCTGGGCCATCCTCTTCTTCATCATGCTGCTGCTTCTGGGCCTCGACAGCCAGGTCAGTGTTTCTGCTGTCTCTGATAAACTTCCTTGAGGTTCCTTGGGCTTTTTGGCTCCTGCCAGCCCTGATGCACATACAGTGTCTGTCTGATCGGTATCTGACGTCCCCCGTGGTATCAGTTAACTGAAGTCTTTAGAAAATAATAGGGTGTTTGCCAAACATTTGGTTTAAGTCATTATGACAGGCTTTATGCCAGTCATCCAGCTTTGTTATGAAACAGAGCTTTGATTAAGATAAGTTAATCTAAGTAGACAAAACATAAGTGCATTGCCAAGGGATTCTCTCACCATATCACATTTCCTGCCTCTAAGTGTAATTCTACTCCCGTACTAAGTCAGTCCTTCACATGGCCAGCTACCTATACCAGCCAAGTGCGAGATCAGGCCTACGCTCTAAATTTGAGTACATGTAAATGCTCATCCAAGCGCTGCTATTTCCATGGGAGAAATGGGGCCAACGTTCGTTTGTGTGTGGGTTGCTGCATTTTCTGACCGTAAATTTCCTGCAGAGTTATAGTGCTGAATGCCATATATTGTTACATCATTTACACACACATGCCACTGTCATATAAGGAGGTCTTGTTTGATGTTGGAAAATAACACATCATTGTTTCATTGTTTTGATATGACATTATGTAGTTCCTAAAGCAAAGAGGAGACGCTTGGGAGCACAAGAGTTACACAGACAAGAAAACAGTGATTCACTGTCATTTTGTTTCTGTTGCGCTTTGCTAGCAACAAACCAGTGTTGCAGAGAGAAGCCTTGTTTAAAGACTCATTACTGCCCAACAAAGACAGCTCTCATTCTCTGATCACTGGTTTGTGGAGACAAAACAAGAGCTGCTTGCATACAGAAAGACACATTGATGTCTTTATTTTTTTTAAAACATTTTTTGTTCTAATGAGAACTTAATAATTGTTTTTGTCCCCACAGTTTGTTGAAGTGGAAGGACAGATCACGTCTATTGTGGATCTTTATCCAGCTGTCCTCAGGAAGGGTTATCGCAGAGAAATCTTCATAGCAGTGATGTGTTCCATTAGCTATATCCTGGGACTCGCCATGGTTACGAAAGTAAGTTGAAAAGTCGCCTCGTGGAGTCTCTGCAATCTGAGCTCGCTGCTTATTGTGTATAGAAAGGAAAACAAGACAGTGTATTTGGATTTACAACAGAGATAATGCAACCGACTTTCCACATGCAGTTTGCGGCCGCCTTGTTACAACCAAATAAGGTTTCCTACCACACTGACAAGTCACATCCTGCATGTCCAAATGGAAAGATATGGAATGCTGTTTTCCATTTAGTGGTTAACAATGGTTCAATGTCGTCTCAGCACCTGTTGAACTCTGCCTCTATTGGTTGGATGCCAGTGCTTTTGTGTCACACTGTCATCATCCCACCGCTGCTTTATGCTGCCTTCTTTCTTGGTGACGTTCTTTCTTGCCACACACTAAAGAGATAATTAATTAAACTGTTTGTCTTTTTTCCAGGGTGGCATGTATGTGTTCCAGCTCTTTGACTACTATGCAGCCAGTGGTGTGTGCCTTTTGTGGGTTGCGTTCTTCGAATGTATTGCTGTAGCCTGGGTTTATGGTAAGTGGAAACAGCTATAACTGTATCATTTTAAGTAATGATCCACAAGACTTTTGTAGAAAGGCTCAAAGGATCTTTATAGAGGTAAACAAAGGTGTGGGTGTTTTACTTGTCAGTAATAAATAAGTTTAACTGCCGGGGTGTTCTGGGGCTACGAGGAGGTAGAAATGGAGCTGCTTCCGCACTAGATGGTGATTGGTTACCCAGAGTTGCCTCCCCCCAGATTATATCCTGCCACAATGTAGCGAGGTCAAAATATTTAGCCCAAAGACAAAAGTCTGAAATGGATTTAGTTCCAATGTTTCATTGTGTTATTTAGTACTGTAGTGGTTGAAACACACAGTACTGCCTCACAAAGACTTTTTGTGGGTGTAGAATGGAGGCTCTGTTCACCAAATCATTGACACTTAACTTGAGGTTGGGACCCCTCAAGGGCTCAGACACTGGTAATCAAAGAACAAGGCTTTCCATGGAAAAGTGGTTTCTAAAAATATGTTTTCAGTTTTGAGGTCTATGAGATTTTAGTTTTTTAAAGCTCAAATTTGGTTATTTTGGAAATAGAAATGTCTGTTGTGATCATGGTTTTGAAATGGGATACAAACAAGCAGCAGTCTATGGCTGACTTTTCCCTTAACAAAAGACAAGATGAGAAAGCAAGGCAACATTGTAAAGGCTACAACTCGTTTGGCTATTAGCTTTTGAAACCCATCTCATCTGTTTCCACTGTAATTTTGGTCAGAGCTTCTGTTATGTGGTGTATTCCTCTGAGATTTTATTCATTATTCACCCTAATAGTAACATTGTGTCTTTCACAATTGAGTAACTATAACATCCTTAAAAGAAAATGCAGATATTAGTATGACAACAAACAGGGTAGATAACTTGTGACCTACTAGGACAAATCCATGACTGTATGTTGTATACATGTATATATAGGACATGACCCAGTGGAAAGATATAAAGATATGTGATAGGTGTAGTGTATAGTAAAAAGGACAGATAAGGGCTCATAAACCAAGATAATATTTGCAGGTAGATATGAAGGTCGTTCTACAATTAGAAACTATGTTCAGTGGGGGCCAATGGTATGTTATATTCTCTATGTATTTGGCAGAAGCATACAGTGCAAACTCACTTCATTATTTTTCTCTTGTGTTGGATAGGAGCTGACAATTTTTATGACGCAGTTGAGGATATGATTGGCTACAGACCAAACCCATGGATGAAATGGAGCTGGACCATAATCACTCCTGTCCTCTGCATGGTGAGAGATCAGGGTGTTGCTTTCTTGTGTGGAGGTGGGGTTTAAGTGACTTGTTCTAAATGAGGCATGTGTTTGTTTTCCAGGGCTGCTTTGTCTTCTCCTTGGTGAAGTACAAGCCCTTGACCTATAACAAGGTTTATGAGTACCCTGACTGGGCCATTGGCCTGGGCTGGTGTTTGGCCATGACCTCCATGATCTGCATCCCCATGGTGATGGTCATTAAGATCTTGCAATCTGAGGGACCTCTGATTGAGGTGAGCTGATATAGTGTTCTTAAGTTAAACTTTCTTGCAGAAATACCACTGAAAAGGTATCCTGAGTGATGCCACATAGATCTTTTTGATACTGTGTTTCTGACTGTCACCTAATTCACAAGCTCATACTCAGTTGCCTTGGCATCATGTGTGTATGTGGCAGTCCGGCTTTAAATGTAATCAACTTTCATTTTCGTTTTAGAGGAGAAGGCTAAATTTAATAAAACATAAAGTGAAATACTAATAATAATAACTGAAAAAGAATGTGGGTAGTTATTGAGACCTCAAACCTCTGGGACATTAACCACTTTCTGGAGCCAGCAATAAGCCACCATTTTGGTTTAAAAAAAGCACTTTCTTTTTACCCAGAGGCTAAGCCCATCTTTAATAAATATCAGATGGAACACGTAAATTGAATTTCTGAGCTTATTTAAGTGTCTCTAGTATTGCTTTGTTAATTTAACACTGGTCGAATCTCTGCACATGCGCTATGCATGTCTGCCATTTCAAACGTGATAGCTGATGCTTCAGCCTAAAAGCCAGCCCCATTTCTAAAGATCATTAACCTAATGTTTCATCTCCTTCCCTCAGAGGATCAAAGCAGTGGCAGCACCAGCAAAGTCAGGCGTTAGCTCTCGGCCGAAAGAGTACACTCTGAAGTGCAGCGAACTGACACAGCCCCTGGACCCAAATGGGAACAATGGCTTGATCAAGCCCACCCACACCGTTGTGGAAACAACGATGTGAGCGCTCTCTGTGAGAGGAATAAGATTGATGTGCTTTCTGTGTTATCATATTTGCTAACTTTCATAAGGGTAGGTTTACATTGTTCAACATATTCATATTAGAATTACTTGGGTTTGATTTATATTAAGATATATATATTATTGTTGTAATTTCTTCCCTCTGTAATTTTTTCTTTTTTCATTTTTTACTTTATTGATATTATTAATGTTACAATTGTTGTTGCTGTAGTTGGCACTGATCTCAATTTAGGCAGTATTTTAAGATAGAAATATTTAATATTTACTACCTTTCTGTTGATTCTGGAGAGAAGAGGCATTTGCTATACGTGTGTGTGGTAGGAGAGAAGAGGAAATACTCACTTCTTACAAATTCAGTTTAAGAAAATTGGTTATGACCTGTGAAACAAGATATAGAATATCCAAACAGCCTCATATAGTCTTGTCGCCCAGTTAACCACTAAATTCTTCTTGTTGTTTTTTATGTCACAGTGACAGTCAGTGACATATCTCAGAGTACATATCCCATTCGACATAATAATAGTTCATCTTGCTTGACATCATTTTAAGTTACATGTTGAAGAAGGCCTTGGCCAAATACTGAGAAATGCATTCAAATATCCATCCTGAAAAATAAAAACAATTTGGACAAAATAATAAAAGAGAAAGACAACTAAGAAAGGAAAAGTAAGGAGAAAAGGGAAGTGGCATATTTAGAGTATTTGTACACTGCCTGTGTGACTATTATAGTCAGCCCCAGTGCATTTATTGAAACCTCTCTTTGCACTTTATCAGTCGTTTCACCTTTATCGTAGTATTTGTTTTCATTGTGCAAGGTATTGCACTTACATTTGCAGGACGTCAGAAGGAAATATTTTTAGATGCTAACTTTTTGATATAGTGAACTTCGATACATATAATCTACTTATAATGCAAAGGTTAAAAGGGTTTAAGTAGATCTATGACATCTTGTATTCTGGTTTATAACTATTAGTGGGATCGGGGAGAACATCAACTCAAAAAGTTACTTTTGTTTTATTTTCTAGACAACCTGACTGCTCTCTCCATTATGCTCATTTCAATAGCAGGCATGCTCTGCAGAACTACCACTGAATTATAGTTTATAATGTTCGGTTATATTTGTATTTTAGAATGTGAATTGTTTGTAAATCACATATGCCTTTTTGTAACGATTTTATACTGTACAACATTTAACACCATCATGGCTGAATTACTTCTCTGGAATAATTCACTGGGTTTTCAAAATGTCAAAATCAGTCATTGTGAACCCATGTTACACATCTTTGGTGTCCAATGATTAAATGGAGCCGTGGCTTTCTCTGTCCATGTACAACGCATGGTGAATACAATTATGAAACAACTCGCCTAGGTGGATAAGAAATCTAATGGAACTGTTTTTCTCGAAGCATGTGCAGGAGCCACCACAGCACGTTGCTGCTTGTGCTACTAGGATATTCGAATGTACCAAAGTATTTTTGTCTCACAGATTTCCCCTTCAAGATGCACATTGCATCACTTCTGTCTAGATAAAATAAACATATTTTTCATTTGATTTGTGTGTGCTTTCTATGCATTATTCCTTTGGTGAAACTCAAAGATTAGCCTGCAAAATTTAGAAATTTCCATTTGCACGTCCTACACTGCGATAAACACCTGCATAAATATGTCAAAAAGAGAACACAGAACCATAAGTAAGAGCCCTAAATCAAAGTTGATCATAACTGTGATCGTGACAAAGGGCATAATAGAAACTACACAACATCTATGTTTGCCTGTAAAAATCAGCCTATTCCAGCTGTCATTCGGTGAGAGGTGTGTTACGCCCTCGACACGTCACCACAGCGCCACACAAAACCAGCTCCATAAAGAATAATGTGCCGTGGTTTGAAATAAATTCCGAAACGTGTCATTTGTGTTCTGTGTTCTGCAGCAATTTCGACCACAAGACTTCCAAAATAGTTCCCAGCCATAAATATAATGTAACCTGCAGCAAATTTCACATAATAACACTTAGCAAATAACACTTCAAAAGCGATTTACTCTTCCAACCTCATTTTTGTTCTGACAGGCAATTCCTAAAATTACATATGCAACAATGCTGGCAGCCAAAAAGTGGTATGAGCTGATGCAGATCATTGGTAAATCCGGTCCATTTATTATTGTCCCCGGAGGTGTTGCAATTGAACTGTAGCTGATGACTTCACTGATTGCATTGTGGGCAACCATGAAGAGAGCCAAATGAAACACAAACTAGAGTTAAATAAATCATGATGTGATAACTTTATTGTCATAAAAACAATGAAAGACATGTCTTACTGGATAATTGATTCACAAAAATAAAATATCCAATACATTTTTGTGGTTCCTTTGAACCAGTTACACAAGGACAAACAGGAAGAAAAAAAAAAAACACATTCTGCATCACAGTTTGCATGATGATACACCGTATCCACAGGTACTGTAAATGAGGGAAGTACTGCATTCAGAGATGCATTTTTTACAGTTAAATTAAGCCGGGATACAGTTGATACAAAACCTTAAAAATAGGACTCTGTACACAATGAAATGGAATAGAATAACATCCAAAATAACAAGGTTACCATCCCAGTTCAAAATGAGCCTCTGTGGCCGTTAGAAATAGGACAGTTCCGCTGCAAGTTCACATCAGCCAATACATGAAATAAAACATTTTCCCTAATCAGCAGACCTCATTTAGAAAGAAAGAAAGATAAAAAAAATCAAGAGGGGTATATTCTTATTAAAACTTCTGCTGAAGACATGAGATTACTGGAGACCATATCCTGAGAACAAAATGTATGCATGCTCAACATGCTAATACATATTAGACCAATTCATACAGTGAAATGAAGAGGAACAGGGATATGTTGAACTCTTGCAGAAGAGATGACTCAAGTGAATTTTGTGCAAAATCAGTGCTACAAATAAACAGCCCAAACGTAGGAAGAAATAAAGATTCAAATCATGTGTCAGGAACTAAAACTACCCATCAAGGGGCTTTTTTTCAAACTAAAAGGATAGTGTTTCCTCATAAGCATTTGTGGTATCAAGATATAACAGGCTGTAATACACAGCTAGTGATACTTAACAAGTATCAGAGAGCACTGGGAGGCCTTTTCCCCTCTCTAGGGTAGGCAACAAGGGGGTAAAGGCTGGAAACGAAGGCAGTGTGCCAAGTTGTGGCTGAAATAACTCAAATGGGTGCAACGTGCCCTGAACCTCAAGTCCAAAAACACCCTGTGTGAGGGTTTTAAATGCATACCAAGTAAACGCTGTGTGCAAAACAAAAAAAGAGCAGATGAAAACGTGAAGCGTGTTCAAGCTAAATACGCTAAATTTATGTAGTGAACGTGTGCGGCATGTGATTCGTCCCAGTGCTGAGGCACGCATGTCCAGTCAGGAGCTATGACTCCTCTGTTATATAACTCTGCCTCTGGTGGGTGGGGGGAGAGGTGGGGATCTGTTCCGAAGCCACAGCCACCTCTAAACTGAATCATGTGCACACAGTAGTGACTAAAAGCGACAATTGTGAACACGTGTGCCTCTAACTTTGTGAGCGAGAAATGCCTTCAGATAAAGTGTGGTCATTTTCTGCAGACATTCTGTGCAGTGAATGTTAGCATGGCGAGCTTTCTAAGGTAATAATGTGACGAACTTAACCGGGTGTGATGTTTTGTTTGTGTGTTTAAGGTCAAAGCACTGCTAACTTTCAGCATCCAACCTTGTGTTCACAGGACGATGCTGTTCATCCTATGGTTGGAAAAGCAGAACAGTGAGTTTGAAGGGTCACAGTCTCTGGGCAGCTCCGTGTCTGTGGCTGCCAGTGGATTCCTGCTAATGACCAAATCCAGGCAGTCTCGAGCCTCCATAATTAGGGGCACAGTTAGACAACAGTCCAAGTCCCTGGTCCTTACACGGTTCACCTGGAAGACCACAACCAACTCAATTAAAATTCACTTCATGTCACATTCCTCCAGAGGAATGGTTAGACAACTTGAAAACAGTCCTTCCAAAATGACCATGAGAAATCTGCTGAAACTCGGAATTATGAAAAGTTCACACGTCTTTTTTTTAGATGACAAAGCTGAAACACAAACCCCCCCCCCACTAATTTTGTTTTTGAAAAACTTTCTTGCATAAACTTATAGTAAAAATCCTATTAGTTTATTCTTTTTATTTCAGATCCTCTTAAGGGATTCAACATGTTCAGATTGACTATCTTTTGTGAGATTACTGTACTGGATTGTATGTTTAAAAAATGTCTACCATATTCCTTTTAATGGCCTCCTAACTAGGCAGATCACACAGAAACAAAACATTAAAATTGGAATAAAAAAGACGAACCATATGTGGATCAAATAGCTTAGAATTTTTTTTGTGATGAAAAACATTTGGCAACAACTTCTGTGTGTCGGCAAATGTCCGTTGAGCTGACATGAAGTGATCATGATGTTATGTGTTCAGTAGCAGAATAAAAAATTTAAAGCACTTTTGTTGTCTTCGAAAAGACAAAGAGTACCTGCAGAATGCGGTCAAAAGGTTTTAAACCTGCTTGGTCAGCAGGGCCGTCGGGCCTGATCATATTCACGTAAACTCCTTTTTCCAGGAGTCCGTCTGATACACTGAAACCAAAGTCATGGCTCACAGGGTCCTTCCTTATTGACACCTTCAGACACAGGGAAAATGTGAGTTACACTGATTATACAAATGAAAAATGCCAAATGATATCTTGAATAAAAAAGGGGGGCATAACGCCATGGTGCAAATCACCCTGCAACACAATTAATACATCTCTATGATCTGATGGCACATGATTGTTTACACTAAAATCAGACTTAAGTCTCACAGAAAGCCTCCACCAGGTGTTGGTTTAGTCAGGCATGAAGGATGGAAACTGAGAAAATGGCTACCTTCATTATTGTGTCAACTTCCTGTGTTAACACTAAACAATTGCAGTGCACACAGACCCATGACTCAGCTCTCTTTGGACCGGGATGTTCTCTCTAACAGGTCTGGCAGATTTAACTATTGCCCAACAAAAAGCAGCTTTAAGGTAGGACCAAAGATAACACAGATTATAGCCATCACTCAAAATACTGCATGACTAGTCTGCAAGACTTCATTTCATGTGAAATGTACAGATGACAAACGATGATGTTAATCATGGAATAAGGTCACAGCAAGTGCAGCTGCTTATGTGCGATTACGTAATGACCGTTTACCGTACAACCAAGAATCACTCGTATAACTTGTTTCATGGACTGAGGAACACACCTTAAAACCATCATCAAGGGTGATCAAGAGTTTCTACAAATGCAAGTGAAATGTCTACAATGGCAATGAGAACTTGGCACTATGAGTACATACTTCAACAGCCAACAGGTATAACTGTCATATGGGCGGCATAAAGTGCACAGCTTGGATAACAACTGTGACAAAGCCACTTAAGCTTTTTGTTTATAATAATTTATTCATTTTATACACAGGTGTTGAAACCACATGTATTTTTTTTATCCAGAAGCAGTCTTTGATGGTGGGCCTTGCTTATTTCAGCAAGACAGTCCCAAACCACATTCCTAACGCATCAATTTGAAAAAAGGTGATGGTCCAGGTCCCTCCGCTAACTTAAATGTTTTAAATAAAAAATTTGAACATTAACACACAAGTTCTTCACTTTATAAAAAAACAAACTTGTTAAACAATATTTAACCAAGCTACGAAGGTTTAACCATTTGGAAATGGCAGTGTTATATATGTGTACCAAAAATGATCCATTGTACTGTACAAACTAATGTCATTAATTTTTAAATACAAATAGTTGATTCTCAACATTTTAGAATATTCAACCAAGTCTGTAAAAATGTGTTAATTGCAATAGCTAATGTATAACTGCATCAGTAGTGCTGTGGTGCTGCTTTGGAATCCAATGTGGGTTAATCCTGGGGATTAACACATATTCCCACTTCATCAGTTATACCGTAATGTCATGCAGTCCAAGTATGGGATTACTGTGTTAAACCCGATATCGATAACTTCTTCCACATTGCTACATTTTGAAATCACCTTGAGTAGTGCCAAGGCTGTAGGGGACAAGATTTCAGAGGGGTCCTCTTTAGTCCTGGTTGGTACCTCTCTGGCTGAAGCTGACATGTTCAGGTTGCTTTTGTTTTTAGACTGGCTGTGGATTCCCTCCTTCTTTAGGGGACTAATTTCAGAGTGAAACATCGAGTCTTCATTCGTCTTGGTCTCTTCAAGGTACAGACTAAGAGCACTGCCTGTCATTGATGCCTGAAAGACACCAAAGTTACAGGAATTGTTTGCATAGTGTTTACCAACCTGAGAGGAATAAATTATGTAGAAAAGGAACCCAATCTCTCATGGATCACAAACACATTTGAGGCCAAGGCGTCGTGCAAAGGCCTCCCTTGGTCATTGTGCCAGCAAGTGCCTGGCTCGTCTACTCAGGTTTGATAACAGATTATACAATGACGATTATCATAATGCTTTGTCGGGCATGACATGTAGGCCAACACCAGTCTATGGCGACATGGGGAAGGACAAAACAGATGGAGAACCTCCATTTGCTACATACCTCCAGTTCTCTGAGTATCTCTGACTGGCCGCAGGTCTCGAGGTCCTGCAGCGCCTGAGACCACAAACTCTCTTCCTTGTCTAAGGTGCCATGGCAACGAGGGGGGCTGACGAATCTACGACAACGCAGGAACCAGAACATGAGAGCAGCCCTGCAGCCTGTGGGCCAGTGCTGCGTACAAAAGCAGCATGGGAAATGCAGTTTTTGGACTGCAGAGCTGCAGAGTCCGTTTTTTAAAAAAAATCTCTCAGGACCACAACCAGGGCTTATTGTGAATTCTCTCACTTGTAAGAGCAATCGAAGGCGAGTCCACTAAATTAGATGGAGCCTTTACAAAAGCGATGCCACCCGTTACAAAAACCAAAAAAAGTAATCGAGAGTATGTGACACAAAAATTCATAAAAGCCAAGCGTGAAGAGACAAATGAGGCAGATGTTTCCTTGGACCAGGTGGGGAGAGTTTTTTTTTCTTGTTTGTTTCATTTGGACAAGGGGTGACAGAAAAAGATGAATCTATTTGAAACACCAAAGAGTTCGTGGGCAATTAGTAAAGGAGATGAGATAGAGAATACCTATGAAAGAAGAGAAAAGGACAGTTTGAAAGGCACAAAATGGGGAAAAACATAACAGAAAAAATATAAAATAATTTCAATGGGTACAAGTTTGCTTTTGTAAACCAACCCCAAATAGCTGGGAGAGGATCACAGAAGCCTTTTAATGCACAGAATACAGTTCTGGTCAGATTTGAACTTAAACATAAGATGCAACACAAACAACTGTTGACATCCATCACATAATCCTTTAAGAGGAAGACAAAAAAGGGGCCTGTGGGTGAACTGTGTAATGTGAAGAATTGCCCCAAGGTGTACCGAACAGGCATGAAAACGCCAGTTAATCCTTCTTTTCCCTCTTTAAAAAAAATTAATTAGAGAAATCTATCACTATCATAGCAAAAATGTTTCCCATTGACTTAAGAGGGATATCCAAAATCCAGTTATAATTCTTTGATGGGACTGATCTGACCAGAACTGTGCAATTACAAACAAGGAAAAATGAAATGAAGACAACCACTTAAAGCTGCACTGACAAATGTAAATTCGATGTAACAGGTGTGAAACACATGACTGCAGTTTTCATTTGGTATAACCCACAATCTGAAACACTCAAATACTCACCCTATTAAGTTAATTATGATTGAGAAAGTTTCTTTTTTAGTGGGAAGATTCAACACATGAGTTGTTAAGTTACCGTTAAAACTTCTCATTTTAATTTCAAGAAATGATCATTGTATTATGCAGAGGTGATTAAGTCTGTGTGTGCACTACTTGGATAAGAGGAGGTCATGAGCTCCTCCCGTCAAAATAATCTTTCAGAAATGTATGTTCTGATATACAAACTATATGGAGAAGCTAATGAAAGTCAGACTTCCGGTTAAAATTCCAAGTCTCTGCACCTACCCAGGAATCTTGTCCCACTCATCTTCAGTGAATCTCTCATCGTACAGCGCTGCGTTGTGGACTAAGCCTGAAGATCCAGAAGTAGTGTGACCCCTGTGCTTTGGACGCCTCCACTCGTGTGGATTTAGCAAAATTTCAGACGCTTTGTGCAAATATGTCCCTATTTAAAAAAAAAAAGACACTTAAATAAAGTCCACCCATATCAGACAAAAGAAGATGCATTTGTAATCGTTTTACAGCTCACCTTGGCTAATGTAGCCTGCATCAAAACCTGAGCTGTCCCATGAGCTCATGGCCGAGTCTATGCTGGGCACAGTGGCAGAGTAGATCTCTGACCGTTTGCTGGTTTTCTGCGAGTCTGTCAGTTCATCCTCTGGGTCACTTAAAAACAAGGCTTCTCTATCTGGAGGCTGTCGACCCTCAGAATCTGGAAACAGGCAGTTGATAGACATTAGACAAGACATATTCAAATAAAGGAATTCAATTCCATTGGCTAATTTTCCATGTTTTCTTATCGTTTGCCATTTGACATAATTGTGACTTCGCCTTGTCATAAGATCGACAAAGATATTCTTTGCATAGATGTTTTTTACATTAAATACTAATAAATAAATAAAATAAGCCATCCATCCATTCATCCATCCATCCATGGATGGAAATAAGCTATGAAAACTGGAGAAAGAGGAAATTCTCTTTTGTGTGTGTTAATTTGGAATTCTTAGAACATACATGTTCTCGAACAGTAATTAGGAACAATAAGAAAATGTACTAAATTTGCATACGGTCAGCTTGTTTCTTGATCTTGAGGGTGACTGACTCCCCGGCCATCTGGAGCAGGTGGATGGCCTCACTCAGCGGCTTTCCCTTCAGGCTCACCCCACTGATAGCCAGGACTCTATCCCCTATATGGATCGCCCCAGTCCTGCAGGTAAGAAGAAGAGACAGACACCAGAGGATAGCAGACGGAACAAACAGCCGGGTTAGGGAACCCTGTCAGGCTGCCAGTGTGCTGACCGAGACAGAAACACAGAGGCTGATTGTTACAGAAACAGACGAGACAGCCATTGTTTACCGTCTCGTTTATTAAAAGGTTTCCACAAAAAAAAGGAGGGAAAAAAACTAACTGGCATCAACTTAATGCACCACCATCTCTTCATACCCGACCATCTCATCCTGCCATTGACTCACCTCTCAGCCAGACCTTTTTTGGTGAGGCCAGAGATGACAATGGGGTCAAAAGGCTCCTCTGTGCCGGAAATTGTGATGCCGAGTGGTCCGTTATACCGCTTCAGCTCAACAGTGTAGATGATGGAACCTGACATCTCCAACTCATCTAAAGTGCAAAAACAGACACTGTAAAACTCAAGATTCGCAATATCTCATTGACTATTTAAACATTTCCAGTAAAAGTCCTCGAAGTTTTAAAGACACAGTCTTAAAAAATGAAAAAATGTTTTTCAAAATATCACAACCAAAAAGCTGTCATGCAGACAAATGACTTATTAAAAAGTACATAAAATGGCAACACAAAGGAATGTTTGAGTGCCACATTAAGGAGAGGGTGGAATTTTATTAAAATTGAAGGTGCACTGCATGACAACAGAAAGTCATTATCAGAGAATATTTTCCTTAAGGCCCAAATAGGAGCCTAAAGGGTCAAAGAAAGATATGAAAAGAAGGATATGGCATTGAGAATGATCAGATTCCAGCTAGATTATACAATGATCTAGATTAGAAATCTAATTGATTTTTGGGATCAAGCCACATTCAAAGATCACATGTAAGAGAAATCTATGGAAGGCAACTAAAAGCATGTCAGGCCTTCATTGGATACAGTGGTTGATTAACAGTATGGTGGAATCTGAAGAACACTACTTTCAAATACATGAACCCCTGTGGAATACTGTTGCGAATGTCGTTTTACATTTCTGACTAAATTTGGCCCGTGAAGCACTGGGGCAGGTGGTAGCAGATTCTCTTCATTCTAGATGCGAGCGTGGGTTTTGAATGGGTCATGTACCGATGTTGTCCTCGTCCTTCTGGATTCGCAGTTTGACCATGTCCTCGGCCTGGTGCAGGATGTGCATGGCATCCTCTATGGTGCAGTTCTCCAGGCGCACTGAGTCGATGGCCAGCAGCCTGTCTCCGGGCTCCAGAGTGCCTGTTCTAGCGGACACAAGAGCGGGAGGGTCACAACTATTAGCTGGCTCCTGATAGCCGCCTCTCCTGACTCACCATCAGAATCCTATTAAACCTTGTGTCTCAGTGGGATCTGTGGGGGTGACCGTCATCTCACCCTCAACCTAATCAACACTGAGCCCTTCTGAAATGTAGCTGCCCTACTGATCTAGTTTTGACAGTTCAATCCTATTAGGTTTTTGATACACAGACACAAAATGTTATCTTGCTCGTGAACAATCCTGCACAAGCCTCTGAAAACCCAGAGAAATGTTGCACCTACACCACACCTGAGACCCTGGATTATGCCAGTTATAAAACTCTAGAAAACACAGTCCTATGAGATCTGAGCGAGCATCATGTTCAACAGTAACATTATTAGCTCTGCTTTATAATACACACCTGTGTGCTATGCTTCCCTTTTTGATGTCAGAGATGATGAGGGGCTTTCCAGGTTTCTTACTCGCTAATCAGAAAATAAAACAAAAAGGAAGGTAGTGTCAGTCATTTTGTTTTTAGATAGACGCAGAATACAATGTGAACACCAAAATGTCATCATCTGTAAACTTAAAATGTTATTTTTTGCTCCGAGCATACATCTAGCTCTTCATTTTCAAAGCTAGTCAGAGCAGGAAGGTTAATGATGGATATTGGGACAGGCAGTACTGTTCAGATATAATGAGCTATGCACTTCTGCGATTCCAAACTTGTGCTTTATGGATCAGAGGACAAAGATGAATAGCTTTTCAGTACTTGGCTTCACTGCAGAACACACTGCCCCCTGCTGAAAGTTCACAACTCACCACTGATGGTGATGCCCAGCTCCACTCCTCTTCGCTTGGGCAATTTAACATGGAAGGTGCCACTGCTTGGAACCACTGATTCTAATTCAGATGAAGAAGAGTGTTTGAAAAATCGAGAGCAGAGAGGCCAAAAACAAACAAGATCTCCACAGCAAATCTGCTTTCCCTTTGCAATACCTGCAACGTCAAACTCAATCTCCACATTGACCTTATTAGACAAAGCGGAGTCTCTGAGCAGCTGATGAGCCTCCTCCAAAGTGCCATCTTCGGTTGGGATCCCATTAATGGACAACACTCTGTCACCGACCTGCAACAGCCCACACCTTCACACAGGAGAACACATGTAATTAATTGGGAAATGTTAAATTATCTCTAAAATTCAGAAGAGTAAACAAAACAAAACTTTTAATCAATATTTGTCTCCCCCTGATGGCTGTAAGCAGCATTACACACACAATGCGTGCATGGAATGGGAAACCCACACTACGGGTAATCCGTGTTTTTCCTTGACGTCATTCCTTTCTTCTGTTTTTTTTAAGACCTTAATCCCTCCCCTGAATAGTTTTAATTTCATTGGAAGTCTCTGAAACTTTCTAAGAAGCTCCTCTGCATCATTCTTTGTTGGCATGTTCTGCTGTGCTCATGTTTCTACATCTCCTGTCGAAAGCAAATAACACATCACTACAATTGTGCCAGGAGTGAGAATGTCACAACAAGCAACAGATTTAAAACCGTCATCCTGTGAAAAACAGGCGATGACAAGGTTAATCAGCTCTGTAAACTCATTTGGCAAAAGCTTTATGGTCAGATATATGTTCAAATCCCTCACAGCACCTTTAAAACTGTACAAAGATCATGTTTTAGAAATACTATTAGATTAATGCAGTCTCCATGCTTAACAGTATGCGTTGCCCTTATGCTCATTTTCAGAATGACCTTAGTAAGCAAAAATGCAGGACAGGAAAGGGGGGAATTAAAAAAAAAATAAAAAAAATACAGCCCATATCACACAATTCTCCTCCTAATTGTGCCGACAAACACACAAGCACTGTCAACTGACATTAAGTCACTCAGCAGCGCAGCTTGTTAACCTTGTGTGGAGGATGAGGCACCAACACCACAGTTGGCTGCTGTACTTGAGTCACTCCTGTCCAACTGCTGCTGGACTAATCATGTTACAGGACCCGGGGCACACGGCCCGGCAAACCGGCCTCACTGCACCGGTGTGCTAAATGCACTTCTACACGTCGCGTAGCCTTGATCAATAGAACACATTCAACTGCTTGAACACACGAGAGTTTTTAAAACCACCATCACAGGACCCTCTGACATCAAGAGTGAAATAACTGCCCCCAAAAATAAAACCACATGAGCTGGTGACCATCTTAATCTTTATACAAACATTATGTAACAAAAAAGACAAAGTTTAGGCAGATGAGATGTCAATAGGGGAATTTATGAGCTTGTTGAACAACATTACTGTCAAAATTGTTAAGCTGCAAGCATCACAGCTGTAAAAATGAGATTGAAACACATAAGCTGTTGTAGAAGATCCATTCTCTTGCTTTTTTCATCAACTGTCCCTTCAAATTCATCATGTGATGCCTTCTGCGAGTTTGACCTTCTTCGGGTACCACTGTTACACTGTTCTTTTCAGTTTTTACTGCTTGAATTAACTTGCAGAACACAAAAGAAAGGGGAAAAAATAATAAAAAAAATGTGGGAGAAATAGAAATGTCAAAACACAGTTTCTGATTTAAACAGATTGGGACAGATAAGTGGTGGCAACACTTTCAGACCAGTTATCAGGGCTCCTGCACATTCCCCTTTTCAAAATTCCACACAAGAATTACGTTTCCAGACGTGTCCCAAAAAATTTAAACCACATTTATTAATTGAATAGAAATGTGATTAGTTGTTAACAAAAAACACACATTGTTAATGTGAAGAAGAGTGAGATAATTGGAGTTCAGCTCTGGAGTGGAGCAGATAAAAGAATCTATGATAGATTATATACATTGTTTTTTTGTTAAATGCAGTGGTGGAAAATAATTTATTTGAAAAAGCATGTTATGTTTTATGCTTTAAAATGAATAAATTGTTCAGTCTGGTTTCAAACATCTGTGGGGTCCACTAGAAAGTTCTCTTACTTAACTTTTCCCATGGTTTCATTGCCATACATATACAATATGAATGATCCAATGGAAACTAACACCAGACGAACGAGTCATAACCTGAAAACTTGTCCGGGTGACCTGGTATATAAGCTTTCCACCTCTAGCAGCATCAGAGATAACATATTATTTAGAGGAGTGTCACGACTTGTGGCATCAGGTTAGCAGAACCAGAGCAGTGATGCAAGTATTCTCAACACTCTTTGCTTTTCATACTCATCTGCTTTTACTTGCTGAGAATGCCCACATTCAAAATATTTTGTACCGTCTTTGTAGTTCCTGTCAACAATCCCCAAAATCAATCAGTTTTTCACTCATGTGAAATGACAGTAAAGCCAGTCAGAGTCCGAAATATCAACTTTACAATTACATAAACAACAGAAAGGTGAGTAAAAAGTGGAAGAGTCAAAATGGGGGTGATCTTTATCTTCGTGAATTAATTATTAGTACTGAGCCCCCTCAGATTAAGAGTGACTCCTTCTGTTACCTCTCTGCTGGGCTGTCGAGCTCAATAAAGCGGATGACCGGGGGAGCCGAGAGCGTTTCTGTAGCAAAGACACCCCCCTGTAGCTGGATCCCAAAACCGGTGAGCAGATCCCCCCTCAGCACGACCTCGCCTGTTTCCACATGAAAAACCTGCCCCCCTGGGCCGACGGAACTGGATGCCAGGGATACTGGGATGGGACACATCAGATGGACATATCAGCAGACAAGCGGCAGATAAATGGAGCAGGAGAGGGATTGTGGCAGAAAACCAGACGGGGAGGGGGAAGAGACGTGCTCCCACAGAGATGACAACATAGGAACAGATAGGGAATGAGTATTGCTCATGTTTACGTCAACCAGTCAAATCTCATCACTTAGTTTGTTCAAATAGAGACAGTTTTCATTCACACTCATCCAGGATCCATTGCAAGAGTTAAAGGGATGTGTTTTGTGTGTGGGAGTGGAAAGTAGTTTGTCATACATGAGCTCTTGTGGTCCTTCTTCCTGTTCCTCCTCTTGCCTGTTGACCCGCGAGGGCTCGTGGGGGCAACAGGAGGGATGGGGCATGGCAGGGTGTTGCTGCCCTGACTGCTGAAGCCTGAAGTGGCTGTGGAAGAAGGGGAAAAGCCACCACCCACCAGAGCTGAAGGGAGACATACAGCAGCTCTTTTTCAATCAAAAGGCTGGTTCAGCAAAAGTAAATTTCATCCATCACAGCATGCAACAAAAGAGAGAGAGAGAGATGTGGCAACTTGTGTCGGGGTAACCCTCTTGGAGGATGATTAAATCATTGTGTTGATGAAAGGGCTCCTGTGATGGTGTCTTGCCAGCAGCAACGCTGTCACAACTAATATCTTACATTTGCAGTGGTCCTGCTGGTTGTGTGGGTGGCTGGGGCTGCTCCATGTCTTGCTGTGGCTGGCATGTGGGGGTTGGCAGTAGTTGCTGCTTTGATCCCAGGGATGATGGTTGCTTTTCTGCACTTTTACTGCAGCATCAAGAAAAGGAGTTGCATGCGTTAAAGAAACGAGACAGACTCCTCGGCAATATACATTTGGAAATTCTATCCACTTAATCACGCTGCGATTAGCATGTCTGAGTTTGTGGCGCACCACACAGTGCCTGGAGCATCATTCTGAGCAGAGTAATTGATATTTAATGTCTCTGCCATGTTATGCTAGATTAGATCCTGTGTTTAATGCATCTTGAAGAGCTTCTGAAAATCAGATTGACACACAAAACAGCACAGGGGATAAAAAAAACAACTTACAGTTGTTAGCAAGCTTCCAAAAAGCAGAGTGTATACTGAAGATCATCTTGATCATTCAATTTTTAAAGAGCGCAAATATGCAAAAACAGCAGCTGTGAGCCGACGGCCTGACATGACCAGGAAGTGGTTCTAGCTGGTTGGAGGCATGCGGTTTGTCCTTGATTGGCCACAGCTGAGAACTTGATTGGTGGTAATGCAGAGTGTGTGTCTCTGCATCTGTCTGATACTATTAATGCGCTTTATTTAATTCCATGATTTATTTATTTATATTTTCCCTGCACATTGCTATTGACCTCTCCCACGTAATAAAAATTTAGATTTGCTGATTGCTTTTATGTTTAACTGCTTCATTTCCTCCCATCAGAACCTGAGAATCCAAACAGCAGACATTAAGTCTGTAAAGGAAAATAGATGGCCTTCTGCTTGACACACACCTCAATAACATTCCTTTACAGATTCATGAAGCTATATTTGTCGCGGAATCTTACATGTGACAGTAATCCTTGCTGTCTCATTTGGAGGGGTCTAATCTCTGGCAACTAGCTCTCATCATGGTTGGAGGATTTGCCAAAGAGATGGCTGACAGCAGAAGCGCTTTATAAGTCAGCCATATGTGGTGAACCTGGCTGAATTAAACCATATGTACTCAGAATACATGCAGCAGAACATCTGACCCTTTTCAGGAAACTCGCTTTTATCAACTCAAACAAATCTTGAAAAGCTCCAGTTCTGCCGGCTTACCATAAGCTCACCTGCTTTATTGTGCTTCCAGTAGAAAGGAACATTAACTCCTAATCTTTTAGTGGTCATATCAATCTTATTAAATCCCAAGTGTAAGTTAGTTGAAATAGCTTAATCACACCATGTCCAGTTGATGTGGAGTGAAAAGCTTTTGTGCTTTGACAAACTAAGAGGTGTTTACTTTTATAAGAAAGCAGAAGAAAACCATTTTAAACATGGTTGCACCCTACGTAAGTTAATTTGAGCATGGATAGAAAAAGGTGCATATGAACAAGATCACATTCCCCTCAGCAATTTCCTTTAGTGTGACGTATCCGAATTTGAAATTCTGTTTTGAAATCATGGACACACTGTGTCCTCTGGGCTTTTGAGGAGTGGGGCCATCTGGCCTGCCAGCACTCAGTTCAGAAGCCATGATGAATGGATGCATACAGTACGGGTGAGCTTCACATCTGTTAAGGCATCATTAAAATGGATGACATGGACAGGTTTTGGAAGGAAATATTCAACCACTCAGTAAGCATCTGTTTCAGAGATGAACTTGCTTTTATCAGATAGATAATTCCAATCCATGCTATGGGTGTATTACATTATCATGGCTATAAGATAGTAAAAAAGGAGTAAAAGAGTGCATATCCTTCACTGGTCTCCCGGCCTTCCAGACCAGCCACTGCAGGCAGGTGCACTATCAGTTACAAAGGAGCTACTGAACTGTTGAGAAATTGAAATCCTCTGTCATGCATGACTGTTTTTGTTTCAAGCTACAGCAGCTGGTCTCTCCAGTTCACAAAGGAATGATAAAGTCAAAGGTGATAAGAAACATTACTGTCAGGAACATTTTTATGCTGACTTTTTAAAAGTTTGACATTTTCATTAAAAAAAGGTTTAAATTGTATCCTTGTTCTATGATAACCATAGAAATACTTTAAATGACTTCATATTTGATTGATCATTCTAATGTTACATCTTAAAGTATTACCAACTTTTAATGGAGGCAAGATTACTCAGACCAAGAATGTTATATGTAAGGAAGCATTTTAATTGACTGCTTCTTAACTTTTACCGAAGCTTATTTTTTCCTGCTCCTTAGAGTAAGTGAACAAAACAAAAGGTGAAAAATATATATGACTGAATCCTAGCCTATCTAAGGTTTGACATAGGCTTATTTTCCTTCACCATACTGTGCAATCCTTTTACCCATGACTTCATGGCGTCTTGGTAGCTGCTGACCCAGAAATAAGTCTAAGAGATGTGACAAAAACATTATTCCTGACAGAAAAAAAATGTTGTGTGTGTTTGCATGTGGTCATTTGTATGCATAAAGGCTGAGAGTGCATCCAAAGCCAGAAGGATTGAGGCCATCGGTATGCCGTGCACATGCAGACACACTCAGGCGGATTCAGGGTGCATGGAGCAAGCGGCTGGGAGGCAGCCAATGTCTTTACAGCTGTAGGTGATACAGCAGAGAACCGAAGAGTCACCATACATATGGCGAGGACAACATCTCCAGAAACTGCACACCCCTTTAGAGTGTTGAAGCAAAGTCAAATTGCTGACACGGTCCTCAGGAAGCCTCTGCATTGTCCAGGAGATTAACCCCCTATGAATGTATATGCTTGTTTTACATTGTTTAGGTACTATTGGTATTTAGTAGGAAGAATTTCAATCATCTCTGGGTTTTCACCTGTTTCCTGTCTGCTAATCAGTCACTCAGAAGTTGTCTACAAACCACTTAAACTGGGTGAACTGTGAGTTTTTCTGTTTTTCTATTCGTTTTTTCATTTTTGACCTGTCTTTTAAATTGTAGTTTGCAAATGTTAAGCTATTTTGAAACCTGACGACACCCCCAACAAGACCAAAATATGCAGAAATTCAACTGCATAACGTCTTTCTGGCAAACACAACACAGAACGGAAAAATAACATGATGAAAACTACAAGATTCTAACCCTTACCCATAAACAAATCTGGCTCATTACAACAAGATGAAAAACATCCCATAAAGCCCAGTAACAAAGCCAGTCACATTTAATTTTTTGCTTTTTGAAGTTGTGTTTCTGTGCAACATATTTGTGTCAGTTTAGGGCCACTGTGCTATTTTCATAATATTTATTTGTATATATGAATAAATATATATATATACATATATTTATTTATTTCTAAATTATTAAATACTTAGGAAAAAAAACAACACATCCATGGTTAAGAAGCCGTCCTGTTTCCTGTTTCAACCCCTGTTTCCCTTGACTCTCTTTTTTTAATATTTCAAAACAGCATCAATAAATTGTGTCTGTCAATAGCATGACATACCTGTGTCTTGTGGCCTGTTGGGAAGTCTGCTCTGGGTGGCCGGAAGAATCTCTAATTTGGCTACGTCAGAGGTACTTGCTAGCAGCTGTGTCGCCTCCATCAGGGAGCAGTGCTCCGTGCTGGTGCCATCGATGGACAAGAGAACGTCCCCTATGTGCAGCGCGCCGCACCTGACGACAAAACCAAGGCTTGTTCTGTCAGGATGCCTTCAGTCAGAAAACACACTGTGGTGCACAATCATTTCATATTTCTGTTTCACCTTTCCACCACACTGGCTGGTTTTATCTTGTCGATAATAATGACTTGTTTGCTCCTGTATATTGTTGTAGAGAGGCTGATTCCCAGGTTGGCTGATGGACCTTTAACTATTTCCACCAGCAGAGGGCCGGAGGCCTGTTGCACTGCCTCTGAAAAAAAGAGATAATTTATGTGTCATGCCTTCTGTTGATGACATCATTTGCAGTTTGAGGGTGAATTTTACTACTCTGATGACACATGGTTTAATGTATTTTTACTGATGTATAATCTCTTCCAATCATGAACTCAGAAACATATCTATAAGAAATAACAATTTTATTTTAGATTATTTGGGGTATTATCTATAAATAATACTTGTCAGATGCCAGCCATGTCTCTCAGGGAAAATACACAAACGGCTGTCATAAATCAAAAAGTCAAAACTTTGAAAATCTTCACGGGACATTTATTTCTCTTCTTGCACTAATGTCCATTTCATGGTAATTACAGAGTGAGGATTTTTTCGTCTTACCACTGATGGAAATCCCACCTGTTCTATGTAGATGATGCTTAAACACTAATCCGTACTTTCTTTTCCTCTCAGCTTGATTACTATGGTGAACTTTTCTCTGGTTTTCCACGCTGAGCTGCTAAATGTCTTCGGAAACTTCACTTAGGTTTATATTTTTCTACCACTGACGATGTAAGAGCTTTCAGAAGTTAAGGGGCATTGTGGAAAATTCAGGGCCAAGAATGTTTGGTAAGCTCTACAGAATTGCGTTGTCTTCCATGCAAAACTTCTCAATAAGTGTATATTTTCTAAGCTGAGAAGAAGACTCTGGTGTCATGCTGCATCGTCAAGTGAGTCCATCTTTTTAAAAGACAGACTTCAAAGTACAAACATAACTCTACAAAGCTAGTTAAGGTGTGCCTTGCATTTAGACTAATTGCATTATCAGAGTTGTAAAAATGACCTGCAAACAAGCAGAGGTTTTCACAGTTTTGGACCTATAGACTATGTCTCATGGCATGTCTGACTCATCGTTAGGCCAAGTGAAAATCTGATTGTGAGTTTTCTCAGAGATAAAAATAGACCGTTGAAAATGAGTAGCTGACCCAGAATGGATTCAGAGTTTCAGATGCAACAATCCAGTTTAAAGTGAGTTGTAGTATCACCAGAAAGAGCTGCAGGGTCTTATCTGCTAAGATAAAATCACAGGGTGCACGGTTGTACTGGTGTGTATAAGCTTTGGAAATCACAGGGGCGAGGGCTCCAGACATGGTATTGGGTTTATAAGCAAAGTGTCTGTGTCACCGCAGGCATAAATGTCCAAGCAAACATAGAATGAACAGAACAACCTCTCTTATGATTCAAACAGAACAACCTCTCTTATGATTCAGCACAGGATTTTGAGGATTTAACGTAGCCAAAAGGCACGAAGAAAGCAATTCTTCATAAATTGTTTTGAGAGAACTGACTTTGGCCACGAAAGAACAAGCAGAATGCATTTATGTTGCCTATCTTTTTCAGCATTTGGGCAAGAAATCTACAACGTTTACGCTTGTGAACAAATAGTCATGACAGTGTGGTATTGAAGTGAGATTACAATGATAGGGGCTATGTAAGTGCAACAGATTTAGAGGACATATCATTTACAGATGGCCCAACACAAGCAGTTATCTACAAGAAATCAACTGTAAATGCAATGTAAAAGAAATCAACTTAAACAAATTACTGGTTGCTCATTAATTGTTTTGTGTTAACTGTGTAACTGGTAATTCAAGATTCCAGAAGCTTAATTTTTCCTGAGGGATACTGCTGTGAAACTGTTGCAATACAAAAATGGGAATGTAATAAAGGAAAAAGGTACAAGCAAGTGCTGAGGAAAAAACAGTAGAAGCCAGAAATAATAAATAAGAATAGAAACAGAAAGAGGTGCAGAAAAGGAGAGGGCCACATTTGATGTCTGTTGCTCCACACAGCAGCAGAAGATACGATCTAGTGTTAGTTGTTCTTTGGAAAATTCCTAAATTTCTTTTAATAACTGTGTAATATTCATTGTACGGTCTGTAAATGTGTTTCAAAATGCTATAATTTAGGACAACAACAAACCCAATCAGTTTCATAGAATACAGAGTAAAAACCCTTCAAAGCTCTCCCTGCTGAATATGCTCCCAGGCTCATGTGACTTCCCCTCTGGCCCCCCCAGCACCAACACACTCACCACCAAACAGCCGCATTATTCACCCTCAGAGCAACCCTGCCTTACCATGACTTCACATATTTCCATCCTTTGAATGTGTGGAGTATGTGTGTGCATGCTCACCCATGACAGAGATGTCGTACTCAATCAGGAACAGAGCTTCCTGGCTGCTCTGCATCAGCATGGTCAAAGCTTCAGCGTGCCTCTCTCTGTTCAAAGGCATCCCGTCTATGCTCAAAACTCTGTCTCCAGCCTTCAAAGTGCCCTCTCTGGAGAGATACACAAGGAGACAGCGTAAACGTATGAAATACAAGCGAGCTATGCCTGATGTTCATGCAAGCGTTAAGGCACCAGTAAATGATTAAGCAATGAGCATTTCCTCCCAGGTGAGATGAGGGATAAACAAGATAAATGACCGTAAAGCCTTTGATGGTTAAGTTCGCTCCAATGTTTTTGGTGCTCTCAATTTTCATGGTGAAAAGTGCATTGCAGCATTTGCCTCTGGATGAGCAGAGCTTTGTCTGCTTTGAAGGTATTTTAGAAATGTGTCACCGCAACTATTTCAAGGACAGACAGGCCAAAAGACAATAAAGTGCAACAGAAGAATAGTTGAATTAAATCGTTAAACGGCAGCATAGCTCGAAGTCTAATTCCACATGGATAACTGTCTGATGCTCTAAGAGGACATAAAAGAGGCAATTAGTTAAATGCATGCATACGTCTATGGAAACAAACAGGCTCATTCGTGCGTGGTGAAGGCATAAAACAGAAAAGCAAACAAGCCAGTTGAATAGCTGCACATGTTGTCTTCACCTGTCAGCAGGACCCCCGGGCCTGACGCAGGTAACCACCAGAGGACGTGACCTCCGCCAGTCTTCATGGAATCCCCCTGAGCCGCAAATGAAAGAATGAATTCACAACACAGAGCCAAAACAGAAGCGGAATGTATTACGGAGACAAAAATGAACAAAGCCAACAAAAAAACATCCCATTCACCTACCTCTCATGACAAACCCAAAACTGTTTCCCTCCTTGTGTAAACACACCTCTATTGTTTTGGTTATGACGCCTGAGGGGTTCTGAACTACAATCAAGGAAAAAACATTTATTTAAAAAAGGATTTCTATAATTCATTATTAGCAATAGAAACCTGAGTTTTTTTCTCTTGATGTCGTGCTGTGACAGGATAATGATAAAATATTGTGTAAATAGGATTAATCACAACCTCTTCCTAAATGCAGCTATTTTGTGAAATCTGGATTTATGCATTTATGTGTTGTTATATATCAGACGATATTTTACCCCAAAGATGTCAGGTCCTTCCTCCTCTACCTAATAGCCTGGTCAACTGCAAAACAGACCCCTGGTTTGGCTGTTTTAAAGCATAACTTTCTTTCAAATGAGTGATAGCATGTACTATAACTGCAAATCATTGGTTTTACTGGATTCCGTCATTTTCTTCTCATGGCCCCACCCACCAAATGCAGGCAGCTCGTACTCCACTTCCAGCACAACTCGCTCCCCGATGTTCTTCAGCAGGCTGATGATTTCATCATGACGAAGCTTTGACAAATTGATGCCATTCACTGACTTGATGTAGTCACCCACATTCAACTGATCACTCCTGTGGAGAAACCAAAGAGCTGGTGACCACAAAAAAACTGTCTCTTATTGCAAAGATCACAGTGTTACACATCTGAATGTGTTTATTAAAAATGTGTTTGACTATTTTAGTGCATCATCATTTTATGTGGAAGGACACAAATATCAATGATCATGGTTGTATTTGCGTTAAGGCAGTATTCCTAATTCTAAGTTACTCTACAATAAACTGGCAAACTTACAGGACCACCTGGGAAGAGAGAAAAACAGATAATGAGGTGAGATGGCAGAGAGCCTCTTCTGCTCTGACACTGAGGGGATGAGCGTGCCTCACATTTGACATTCAGAGTCCATAATCCACACTCTGGTGAGCTAATTGTTTAAATCCATAGTCAGTCCTTCTTTTCCTCCTCACCTTTGGGTTTCTGCCAATCAGTGGACACAGCGTCATGATGGTATGGTCTCATCTCACATTGCAAGCCACTCTCCTTACTCTCTCACTCTCCTTACTGCCTGTGTGTGTCTCTACCCAGGGAAATAATTATCTAGAGCTTTTATAAAAGCTATGGGAAGACGAGCATCTTGTTAGAATTTGCACAGTGTCTGTCTTTAAACCTCAGTGGACTTGACAAGTAATGGCATATTTGGCCAAGACACTTTCGGGAGGCCATGTAAATTGAACAAATTTTTTTTTTTCCGTGCATGCTTCATTTTGGCCATGTGCTGCTAAATCAGGCGTCATCAGTAAAATTGCTTTAAAGAAATGACGATGATGATGTGTCGTGTATTTTTGTAGATCTAAAGTCAGCGTGTTTTGGTGTTATTTAGGGTCAGCATGAAGCTGATCTAACACAACACCTGGTGTCATTTTGGAAAAAGAACATGGACATTTGTAGGAGCAGAATGACACATCCAGAGAATTGTTTGCTTTGGTTTCCAGGCTTTCAGCACATCCCAGAGCGCATTTCTCACCTGGCAGCCAGCCCACCTGGCCGTAGGTTTGACACTCTGGGCTTGCCATCCTTGTCGGAGCCTCCGGAAATGGTTAGGCCAAGGCTGCTGCCTTCCCGTTTCATCAGGTCGACCGTGGTCACCCCTCGATACTCCTCTGCCGACAGACACAGATGCAGGCAAAGATCCACAGTCCGCATTAAGGTCTGCTTGACAGAATCGCATTGTCTGAGAGGCAAATACTCTTTCCTGAATCTTTCTGAAAAATTCTGTCTGACACATAAGCGCAGCCTACATTTTCTCACAGTTTTTTTCCCTGTAGTTCCATCAAACCTCTGTGTGTGAGGGAATCTTTGCGTCAAGATCAGAAGGAAACAGAGGAAAATGGAACTATGCCACTCTGAATGTTCAAAACGGCAAAAAATTACAATTAACTTTTGAGGAAAAATCTGGAAATGATATAAAACACCGTCCCAAAAACCTAACAAACCTGCTTACACCCCACAGTAAATAGAAATGTTGCATCATCAGAGAACTCGCTCTGTGTTGTGGTCAACAGTGTCGTGCTGTTTAATCGCTGTACGTAAAGGCTGTCAAGTGCGCCTTAGTCCCCATGACAGGTTGCTGCACGAGCATGTTTTTGCCTTATGTCAGCATTTAAGCAGTCAAACATCAAGCAGAACATGGGACGCTCATGCCTTTGCAAAAACACAAAGACAAACATCAAAGGGAGATGTCATGACTCTTCCTCCTGTTTTAAGCCCAGATGAAATGCACTCAGCAGTCCGAAGCAGGCAGCAGACAAAAACAAAAGGAAGTTGAGTCAAGCTTGACTGTATTGTACCTGAAAGGCTTCGCCTCCGGGATGAATGTGATTGGTCAGGTGTCTCTTTGCTCCCCTTTGAGTATGGTCCTTCATCTGAGGAGACAGCCGAGAGGTGAAGAAGGTTATGCATGGCAGAAGTCTAACGGAACCTGACTGGCTGTTGAACATCATGACAGAGAGCCCGGCTTCAGCCTGTGGAGTCCTAACCAACAGCCAGGTGCTCAGCCAGACACTGATCCAGCTCTGGCCACCTAAAAGGTCACTCAAAACTGTTTTTAATCTATTAAAATGGTCACTAGCTCAAAAGCACGCCTCTCAAAGACAGCACTTGACGCAGAAATACATTTTACAGCATGCTTGATGTATGCTGCCACTTCAGGGTAGGAACTTTGTGGGAGGAACAGCATGCGGTTAATAGACTCCCCTTGCATGGAGAGAAAATCACCATTTTCTTGTCATTTACAACAGCTGCTACAGAGAGCAGGGAAACGGTCAATCTGCTCTACAGAAAAACAGATTTGTTTCTAACTTATCACTCACAGTGGGAGCCATTTCTGACGCTGTTCCGAGATTAGCTGAACCATTGCCCAGCCATCGTAACGTGAGGGCAGCCATGCAGCCATATCAGCAGCCACAGTGATGAGGAAACTGAGTTGGCACTTCTTTAATCCTGTCCACAGAGGATTACCTTTTCAGCCGTCCAACACGGTGATTAAACATCACACCGTAAACCTGAAGAAATGCTGTGACAGGTCTTCTTTTAAAGGGTTGACTGCCTTTAATTATGTGATCATCAAACTAAAGTGCTCACAACAGAGCCTTCACTAATGCAGAGTGGAAACACTTGTTAAAAGGACCTTGTATTGATCAAAAGAACAGGTCTGCTGCAGAGACTGGCAGCTCCCTTTGGTGAATAGTTAATATATAGTATTTTCAATACGTGCCAACCCCAAGTAGGGTTGTCGGGAAGCTGGTGAAGGCAAAGACACATTCAATAACTTGACTAAAATATTTACCTTTTGTTTTCAAATTTGACGGTGCAAATAGACACGGCTCACAGCTCATTCATTCTGTTTGAACACGTCAGAATACAGACAAAGGCACATTTACACACAAGTTATTCATTATTAGGCTACTGCATAGCCGATTGAATCTCCTAGAAAAAAATATCTGCACCCCCCCAAAACATCTCTATCTACCTACTACACAGTGTATGGTCAAGTTAAAGACTGACCTGCTGCAGAGGTCAGAAATAGAATATGTCATAATTTAAAGAAATATTTAAGCTTTTACTTCAACATGGAAAATGCAGCTTTATTCATACCGATGTGTTGATTGCTTCTATGTAAACACTAAACCAGGTGAAATTACAAAGTACTATTAAGGCATTATGTCTGCTCATTTATCTCTTTCAGGGGTTGCTCTCCATATGAAGCTTTCGGACAGCTCAGAGTATGGATCTTTTGTCATACCTTCACTGACACAAAACGCTTGGGGAGCCTTCAGCACTCACAAACAGCCGAATGAGTCAGCCCACAGCCACAGAAAACTAACCAAAGGACATGCATGTCACTGTGATGTATAGAGCACACACGCACAATGGTATTTCACTCCAAGTTTCCCCACATAGTTGCGCAAATAGGGTGCTCAATAGCTTTGAGGCACAAACATGCACTGAGTGAATGACACATAACAAGCACGTTAAGCTAGGCAAAAAGCTCGGAACCGTGCAGGCTCCCGGGGGCCTTAACAGTCCAGCAGCTGTCATCGCTGTCAAAAGGCAACATTAGCTTTGGGTTACGCAGACCCAATGCTCTGCACGTGACTGAATGCTACTGTACCATCGAGCTGTCCGCCTGCCATCCTCCTCCAGCTTAAAATAACCACCACTAACCCCAAGCAGCCAGGGATAAGAGAGAAGCTGATTATAAAAAGCCCCAACAATGGAACAACTTTTTACATTTGCGCTGTATCAATCTGCTCTATCTGTAGAGAGCAGTTACTGGCCCTGAGCATGATTAGCTAGTGAGCATAAGCAAAATATAGAGACTTGATCAACTCCTCATTTAAATAAGGAACCTGTAAACCATCCTTCTGCTGTCCAATCAGAATGTAGGATAAATACAGGCGCAGAGCTGACAGGGAAATCATAATGCTATTTTCAGACATAAAACCTTATTTATAAACTGGGTGCTTCCATATCCAGTTTATATTGCTATATCTGCCCCGATTACACATGGCAAGATGTCAGGCAGGCAGTCGACTTAACTCACGTTTAAATCTGTTACAGTTGGTTATTCATGCAGTGCACTGATTTCCCATTTTTTCATACTGACAGAATGAAAGGTTTCAAAGATAATAAGCTGATAAGCAGTGTAGCCCTCCTGTTTCAAGCACATACAGTCCCCGTTACTCTGATGATCGGAGGTGGAGTGCTCTTACCAACGCTGTTCTTGTTGTCTCTCCTCAGACCACACAACATGGTTGTTGTTAAGTTGGCACAGCCACCCTCGGGAAGCTGCTCTTTAGCGAGAGGGCAGAGACTTGAGGTTCCACCTGAGGAAGAGGTAGCTGAGAGACCAGGTCTCAGGCATACAGGTAAGACAGAAAAAAACTCTCTGTCTCTTTACTCCTTGGCTCTAAGTCCAACATTTCCATCAACCTTGGCCCCGTTGGTGACGTCTGGGTCAGCAGAGGGCAAATTTTGATCCTGAGATATCTTGATGCTCCCGTTCTCCTTCTGTCTGAAGTCAGAGGATGATTCCTCTGAATCCTCCCAAATATAACCACTATCTACTGAGATGTTCTTGAAAATCCAAAGCCAGCCGAAAACGGCTTCACGCTCGTTTTATTTCATCTGGCTGTGGCCCCGTTTTTGAGCTATTCTTACAAATCGTTGGTATGTTTCGCAGAGATTTTCTCATGTCCTGTTCATACACTCACATGAGCTCACACATAACCCTTCTCTCTCTCTCTCTCTCTCTCTCTTTCTCTCTGTCTGTGTGTGTTTGTTCCCGCTCTCTTCCTCTCTGCCAGAGGGGTTCAGTGAGGCAGGCACACACGATAGTTACTCCCTTCCCCCCCCCCCCCCCCCCCCCCCACACACTTTATCCATTTCCCACCAAGTCAAACACATCCTCATGCCCACCCACACGCGTAGAGTTCACACACTGAGATTAGACACGACACTCAGCTAGCAGCTAAATTAACAGCACCTGCACAGTCATTGTCAGACTCAGTGTCACATTTTTCTCACATAGAAACCGCAGCCTGACTACATAGCTTGTATCTACTAAACCACAATATAGTTCTCTCTCTTTGGCACACACACCATGGAAAATGCATACATCAAATTCTTGAACAGAACAGCTGACACCACATCCGACAGTTGAGACTGACTGAAAATATTGTTAAACTGCCGTGCACAAGGGACAGATCAAGATTGTGATCACTTGAATATAAATAAATCTGTGAAGGCAAAAGTCCTCCTAATTAAAGTCAAGTCAAAATGTAAGCCCACTACCATGATTAGCTTGTAGAACCTCCTTGGGCAGGCATGATTTGGAGTAATTGTTCTCTTACATCCTTTCAAATGAATTCTGGTCCACCTTTCAACACAGTTCATTCTGGGTTTCAAGCTTACATTCATTCTCTCTCTAAGGCCCCGCTTTCTTTGTCATTCACTTGGTTGAGGATTAGCTGCTGTGGTGGGAATAATTTCTTGGCCAAATTGCAATACTCTAAATCCCTTTTTTGTCCTTGGTCTTTTTCAACTATACCATCATTACCTTTAAAATGAAACCGGCTAATTGACACCTGTGAGGATTGAGGTGTATCTCTCGTTTGTAACTTTCTTTTTGAAATACACCATCTGATTTCGGGGTGAAGTTGCTGAGAGAAGATTAGCAAAGACAATGTTCTGTTAGCGATAGGATCCAAATAGTTGGAACATGGCATTATAACTCTTCTCAGATTAATGGGCTACAATACAACAACTGCATCTCTAAGATGTCTTTCCTCCTTGACATTGTTTTAACACACACCTGAATTCTATAGAGCTTACCCAGACTCCACAGGCTGCCATTCTGAACCTCACCTGTCTCCTTTTTTTGGTTCACAGCAGACAAGCTTCTGTCGTGACTTTAAATGCATGCAGTGTAAACCACAATGAATGATCACAGAAATCTCCCCATTATCTTTTGTACAGATGTGCAGAGTGATCACAAACAGATTCCATGTTTTTATCCGCTGTTGCATGCAGCATAGCCTAATTAGTCTGATGTTCCAGTGGACAAAATACTCTTTGACGTAGATAATTTCCTCCGAGACATTTGTCCTTAATAGCTCATTTACAGTGTGTGCGGGGGTAAGGCTTTCAGAGCGAGACTAATTAATTTCCCGTAGAACAAAAAGAGAATTGGGATACAGAGCAGTGTGTTGGACTGATAAAAACCCCTGGGATGAGGCCTGTGGACATCTGCTTATCTTAATAAAAATAGCTTTAACTGTACTATTCTGGAAAATCTGTACGTCAACATTATTGATTGGATTAAAAAAGAAATATTTTTACCTTTCCATCACTAAAACATAGAAAGGTTTTACAAGCAGGAAACACAGAAGAAAGGTGCAAATGGTTCACTTGACTGTAGCATCCCTACATTGATGAAACTGACCACACTGCCATCTAGCGATAAACAGGTGCAGTTGCAAATTTGAGGAGCAAAATACACATCCAGCACAGATGGATGTAAGCAGGTGGAGCAAGAAGAAAAACATAAAACATACATGGAACAAACGTGATCACATATTAGCCCCTCAAAGTTTAAAATCTCATAGTAAGTTAGTATAAGTGCTCATTTTACTTGATCAAATCATATACTTTTTAAATGGATGAACATAATTGTAAAGTTTAGGGATTGATTTATTCACAGATGACCTTGTCAAAGTGAGGCAATTTAACAGATTTAGCATTTGTTTCCTGCTGGTTTTACCTTTGGCTCTTCCTCTGATGATGCCCAGTCGACATCTGAGAGAAAAAGAGAACATCCTCCTCTTTCCTGAGGACCGGCTGCCTTTCCTCAGAGGATCTAGCTGAGGAAAGGCGACTGAGAGCTGTTTGGGAGTGAGGCTCCCTTTTCCAAACACTACTCTTGCTGACATGTTCATTTTCTGACCAGTGAAAAGGAAAAAATTGATTCTTTCCTCCCGATGCTCTCACCGTCTCTTAAACACTACGGTCTCTGACTGCCCCGCTGCTCTAATGCTTCCTCCCATCTCTGGAGAACATCCAGTCCGGTCAGGTGCGTCTTCCAGTCCACTCCACAGACAAGTGCAGATTATCAAGAGAGAAATAATTCAAAGTCCACTCTGCATTTTTAAGACATTAGTGGCAGCTTACGTCCACATCCAAGCTGCCACAAGCTGACTGGCTGACAAAACGTTATGTTTTTGAATCTCTAGCTATGTTGTTTTTTCAGGAACAGATGGCAGAGGGCTCTGGGCTGTGGGGCACAGCTTGCCTGCCAGAATGCAATGGAAACTTTCTCTGCAGGGAACTAGTGCTCAACATTAAATTTACAGAATCCATGCAGGACAATCCAGAATCTTTCTTTTTGGGTATATTCTGATACATCATAGACAGTTTGCTAGATTATCAAAACCCCAAAATATAGAAGTTGACTATGGATATGCGTTTAAATTATGGGGTATTTAACCACATTGGCACAGTGAATCTGGTTAATTGAGATGAGAATTTTTTCAAATTATGTCAAGCCGTTAACCTATCACACCAGTGTCTCAATACTAGTAGAATTCAGTGGTTTGCTCCATATGTACGAACTGTATGCCAACTCCCCCACCCCCCCCAACAATGGAATAAACACTTATTACTGGCCAGGAGGAGAAGCAAACTGAGCCACTTGTGCTTGTTCAACATAAACATATCCTATTATATTCTTTGTGCAACTACAAATCTGACAGGCACCCCTTCTTTTATGAGAATAATTCAATCTAGTGGAAACAGAAAAGTTTTCCCCTTTACAACAAAAAAAAAAAAGATAAGCAGCAAAACGGGAAAAAGGAATCTCGCATCAAGTTTCCATTTTACAGAGTTTATTGTAAATCGACAGTTTATTCGTTCTCCTCGCTCCTGAGCCTGGCGTTGGGGTTGGTGATCTTGATTGCCAGCTGAGCGGCCCTCTCCACAATAATCTTCCTGTTCTTGGAAGAGACGTTGTGGGCGATCTCAGCACAGTGAGTCCTACAGAAGCACAGAGAACAGCACTCAGTGAGAAACAAGGACACGCTTTAACTGAAATACCACTTGAGGATTAGAGGGAAAACAGAAACGCGATTTTTATGTCAAGAGGAAACGCTTTGCGTAGTCCAATTTGGTGATGAAAATGCACTCTACCAACAAAGCATAAATAGCTAGTTATTATTATTATTACACGTATTGAATGTGGTAACACAGCCACAACATCTTCACATGCTGACGAGGGTGGAGCCAGCGTTTGACCCTTTTCCAGTGTGGAATCACTCCCACAATGCCACATTCAGCTGGTGTAATTCTATTTTCATGACTTCTGCATTCCTACTCATCCAAGTGATGAACAAGTAGGAGAAAGAATATACTGAATTCATACCGATATCCCTACTGTTAAGAGAAGGGAACGACTAAAATCATAGCGTCTCCGTTTGAGTCGAACTGCATTCGGTTCCTTAAATTGTTTATGGATTCAGAAAATGAATAGATTATCATCTATGACCACAAACTGGAAGCGTTGTTCAATAATTTAATGAAATTTAAAGATAGAAAAAAGTATCTGAACTTTTGACCCATACTGTTTTATACATTTGCTTCCATTCAATTGGTAATTGCTTTTTGAACTAGTAAAAAGTGTCAAAATTTAGTGATATGCAACTAATTTACAGTGGATCACTAGAAACTCAGCCCTACAATAATTTATGTTATCTAATTTATGTAACCCAATCCTGTATTAAAAAAATATTCTTTTCCCAGAGATTTAAAAAAAACTGAAAGCAACAACCATAAGTTAACTCATCAAAATAACAGTATGATGTTTTCGAGTCTGCAAGAGCAAGTGTTTTTTCCCCTTTAATGTTTTGAAGAATCAAGCAGCTTCACAGGGTTACAGGGAACATTCATGTCGACTTGATTCTTGGGCTGTGTGGCAAAAAGTAGTAACAGGGTAACCTATCAATATCTATCAATTCCATGATCATTAGTATTCAACTTACTTGTTACTCATCATCAGGACTTCCAACTCCTTGACATTGTGCACGAGGAACTTCTTAAAGCCAGTTGGCAGCATGAACTTAGTCTTCTTGTTGCTACCATAACCGATGTTGGGCATCAGCATCTGACCCTTGAACCTCCTGCGGACTCTGTTGTCAATACCTCTGGGTTTGCGCCAGTTTTTCTGTTGATGGAAACAGATTTGTACATAGATTATAAGTCATTTGTCCTCTATTGGTGGCAGTAGAGGTTCAAAACTGTTTTGTAACTTACCGCAATCTTGACATATCTGTCAGACTGATGGCGGATGAACTTCTTTGTCCGCTTTTTGACAATCTTGGGTTTTGTCAGGGGCCTGAGGGCTGCCATGGTGACTAAAGACACAATTAAACAACATTACAATTACAAACCACATTAATACTGTTCCGTCTCTCATAGATATAGATGTTAGTGTACATTCATTGAATTGAAACGTACAGGTGCAAAACAACTTGTTCCCTAATGAATCAAATCCGCTTTTATCCACGTCAGACCAAATTGCACCTAGTTAACAGTGGACTGAGCTCCAAGTTAAACGTGTTAAACAGCGTTGGTAAGCTAGCACTGCCTGCAGTGCTTAGCTAGGTAGCGGAGCATGCTACATTAGAACACCTAAGTCTGAAATCAATTAACATGTTGCGGTTTAAAACTGGGAAATACTACTTCTTGTATCTACCTCAGTATGTTTTACAGTTAGCCGTGTGATTAAGCGGGCCTGTACTAAAATACCAAAACCCCACTGTACAGACGTAGCACTAGCTTCCAGGCAGCTGCGGCATTTCGCTCAGAGATCACTTTCGAACGAAACCTATTGGAAAACTTGATAATTTTATTCATAATTCACTAGACTAACCTCAATTATTACTAAATTATGCCGGGATTGTGATATCAAGGTCAGTATAGTGTGGATTAAGTTAGATTGCCTAAACTCACCCGCCGATGTAAATCCAAAAGGGACTTCAACGACGGCGGAAGGAGAGAAAAGGACTTCCGAGAGTGTGGCAAAGGCTTATGGGTAGTGTATTTCTTCTGAATGACTCGGGCTACCTTACGACTCAAATGTAACTGACTTCCCTTTTTTGACGATATATATTTGACAAAATATTCTGACCTAGTTGTATGATCTTTTTAGTCTTTTATGAGTTGCATGTATGTCTATTACATATTTTTTCTTCAACAGCCGTCTAAACATTGGTTGAAAAACACTTCCTGAACAGATGAAAAGTCGCTTTTCTTAGCGCATTACCCTTCAACTTGACAAGATAACAATCTTTTTAAAAAACTGTGTTCCTCCTTCATTTTTATAAGAGGAAGCAACTGATGTTGAACACGGGGGAGTGGTGTAAAGGTAAATGATCTGTTCTTTGTCACATGATGACGTGTGATGCATTTCCTTAGTGTTGAAAGTTCATATCAGAACTTATTCGGAGCGCCTTTTTCTGGCATAGCATTAACCAGTCGCGTTGAAAATGTCTCATCAACCAATAGTTGGGTGAGTCAATGTTTGTCGTTATTTCTACTTTTCTCTAAACTTAACGTTGCGCATTTTGGCGTCACTGGCTTTTTCCGTTATTTGTAGCGCAAGTCAGCCCAAGAATTATGGGATGGCGAACCCAGGTTACATGCCATCAGCCGAAGGATCAGCGGGTATGTCCTATAGTTTCTCCTTTGCTCTGACAGTTAAGATGACTGAAAAAAGTTTTAAAACTTGAATATTGCCTTATAACAGCACACTTCCGGGGTAGTGTAGAGGCGTCACGTGGACGTGCACGACATTTGACTTTGCCCTGGCATTTTGGGGATGCTCATGTTGTATTCTGCTGGGAGATTTAAAGTTTTTTTCTTTATACATTGTGTAACATTTTTATCTTGTCTATATATATCCTAACTTCAGATGGGAATGAAGGTTGGCCTGATACAGTATTAGGCAGATTGACCATTCCCATTTAACAAAGGGGTGGAAAGGAGTTGGCATTAGAGGCTTATTTTAAAAGAGAAAGTAACAGAGGGGTTATAGAACCAGAGTAAAATTCTGTTGATCAAGGAAGGAAGACTCTGTTTCATAAACATTTAATTTGATTTCAATTGAAATGGCACACTTTGAAAAGAAAAACATTTAATTAACACCACCATTATTAACATCAACATTATTAACAGTACAAAGTGGAAAAAAATCAGTGCTGGGATTATCTTTTACCTTTGTAAACAGACCAGATTTATAGTTAGAATTTAATGAGACTGTTCTATCAAAAGCGTGTCCATGGATAATTTTCAGTCTTTCAATTTTAACCCTAGTGCTTCTTATGTCTAACCCTCATCAAGTGATGCTGTATCCTAGGCCAATTAGGTAAGTCCAAAGAAGAGTAATTAGATTCACTTGTGACCTATGCTTTCATCGTAGGTTAGTGAATGGAGCAATATCCTATCCTGTCCAAGTTTCAGCCTAAATCGGACGAGTAAGGGAAGTGATTTAGTGCAAATAAACTGAATGTACCTTAGAAGAGGAAAAACAAACAAACAAACAAACAAACAAAAAACTCATTTCTCCATCATATCAGGTGTTACTGAGCCAAAGTTATCTGTACTCTGATAAACAATGCTAAACAGCATTGATAAAAATGAAGTGACTCTTCCTGAGTTTTTCAGGGAAAAACAGTCCGATTTTCATTTCCTGCTTTCTCAAACTATATAATCTCATCGACATAATGATATTTTCCAGCAGATGCAAGAAAACCTTCTCAGGAAAAAGGACAGAATCCTGCTCTCATACCCATTCCTCACACTTGGCCACACTGATCCACCTCTATCAGATGATTCTGCTGGTGTGTCACAGCAGGGTTGTTTGCACTTTGTTTAGATTGCAGCTATTGTCTTTTTCCCGACGGTTTTTGGATTCATTATGTCCCCGGCTGACGACACAACAAGCCTCTATCGCTCCGACATACCGCGGATGTCCTGAAGCCTCCCCTCCTGGCGCACTGACATTCCCTCAGAAATGAACTCCTCCTCACCCGTTGTTGACTAGGAAAAGGGCGTACCCGACGAAAGCCAGCATTTCACGGTGTACACATGTGAACCGCCACATTTCTTAAAGAAATAAAGAAAGGTGGGCGGACCCATTCCCCCTTAAATAAGCTGCTCCTGCCACAGCCGCCACAACACGAGTGTGACAAACAGTAACAATATCTCGATGAATACGAACATGGAGGCACAGGGTAAGTCTGTCATTTTTCTGATGAAGGGTAATATGATAGGTTAAAACACGTCCGTTTGGGGAATGTCCGTTTTTGCTGGTTTCTTAAAGATGTGGAGCGATCGAAGGTGTAACCGCGTTGTTTTCTTGTAGAGGGGGCTGGTGGGAGCGGTGGGCGCGCATTTGGCGATTTCTTCCTTTCAGATTGTTCGGTTTTGAAAGTTCAGATCGGTGTGTAATGCAACTGGTTTTTCTGGTTTGTTCCAGCGATGTTCGCCCCACCCGCGGCCGCCTCCCCGGGCCCCAGCGCCCCGCCGGCCGGGATGTTCGACAGCGTGCCTGGATACGAAGGGACGGTGATAGGAGGAGGTAGAGAATAACCCCGTCCCTGTCCCCCACACTCCACTGACCCACCAGCACCAAGTGTTCCGTCAGATAGGATTTAAAAACTCACTAATCCTGTAAAAAAAATCAAATGGAATATAATGAGCTATTTGTGAAACATGAAAAAAAACAACATTTTCTTCTGTAACATTTAAACAACACCATGGTCAACATGTAGAATACTGTAAATGATAAAGTCCAGGGTATCTAAAGGTAAACAAATTATAAATCAGTTTCTGTTGTTTTTCCTTTTTAAAGGCTATATGATAAATATATGAAATATGAAATAAATTATTTATGAAATATTAGATGAAATGTTCATTCTGGCCTTTGATTCAAAACACAAGCGTAATGTTTTTATGAGAATTTGATTTAGCAAGTAATGGAGTTAAATTGATAACTTAATGCAGTTTCTTATAACAACAAAGCTAAATCTAAGAAAGTAAAAGGAATTGGGAAATTGGTGTGACAAATTGCTCTCAACCTAACTGGTTATTTAAGTGGCCGGGCCAGTCTTTCTGGCTTTAATATTAGTCAGCATCAAAAAGATGACAGTGTTCTGGACTTGTGACCTTTAGAATGAATGACAATGTGATAGTTTTGCTTCCCACCACAAGTATTTCTGCAAAAAATGTTTACTATTCAAAATGGATGAGAAGTGAGTTGTTAGGCACGTTTGCTATTTCCATCAAACCTCCCCCTCAAAAAACAAAAAGAAATACACAACACAATCTATACACTGTAGAAAACTTTAGGAAATCCCTCACTGGTGGAGGGTTTGGGGGTTTCTGCTGAAAAAATAATTGAAATAACACAATGTTGAAAGATGCTGCATGTCTTCTGTCAGTCTGTGAGGGAAGGTGCAGACTGCTTTGCGGCCATGTGTTGAGGCAAGAGCATAAGAGGGAACGCAAAGAAAAGTGGACCAAACTGCCCACCCTCTAGATTCTACAGAATGCAGAGACGACATTTGGGGCTACATTCAGTCAGAGGCTTCTTTGGTTCTGCTGCATCAAAGAACATGAAAATTCATTACTGTACACATCCATAACTCCACATAACATATTTTTTCAATGAGTCACTCAGAACTGTTATTATGTTTTATGCTGCAAAAATAAGTTCCTCTTTTTCCTTCATTAAAGGAAAATTCACTTTACTTTTAAAAAAATAAAAAAAAACACTGTAAAATATGTTGCAGGTGGATTTCTGCCCCCTCCCATGCCGGCTTACCCAGCTCCTCAGCCTTCACCTGGACCCGATCAGCCAACCTGGAAGTAATGCTCAAGCTATTTACTTTCTTTAAAAGTGATGCTGGGTGATGTTGAAAAACATCATTCATGATTGTAATCAGTTTTCAGCGCTTCTTTTTAATGATTAGATTATGTGACGATTTGTATAATTTTTCTTCCCTTTTGGCAGCATCCCGTCTATATCTGAAGAGACTGCCCGGGAGGCTTTTATCCTGTTTGCATCCAGCAAGTGCTGCTACAACTCTTCACCAGCAAAGGATGGTGTGATTACCAATATGGAGGCATTCAATACATACAGGGTAAGAGGAAACAGTGTATTGGCATGGAGAATTTTCCTATGAAGATAATTCATTCTATATAACTAGACCACAAGCAGTACCTCATGTTTGTTTATTTTTCATTTTAGTATCGCCTGGAGACATTTACTGAGTCAAGATCGACAGAGTGGACCCATGTGCCATACCATGGTACGTCACTTTGAAAGTCTGACTAAGTCTAAGTTTACATCAGTCATTTTGTACTTCCTGTACAATCTGTGCAGGGAGTCTATTATGTCTGAACAGTCATCACAATCAGCCCGAGCAATGGCCAACAGAGTGTATGTGATCCCAGCTTTAGTTTGTCTACTACAGTGATTGAAATAATTTGATGTGTGAGTGTTTTGCAGAAATAACAAAAAAGAAAAAAACAATAACTTTATTTTATCTTCAATGCCTTTCAAAGTATTAAAGGAACTGTAGGCCCCTCGTGTTACAGTAAGAGGAAGCGTCAGTATTCCACCCTTCCTCAGTAGTGAGGCTGTTAACTCTTTCTACACTGTTTTCTTTCTTACATTATAATCAAAACTATGAGGAAAACCTGGCCTTTAATAATGCATGTCAACATTTTAATATGTTTTATCTTATTAGACAGAGCTTCTCAATGTTAGAACAACACACCTAGTTACAGTTAAATCATTCGAGTCAATCCACACGTTTAAAATGACACCTTTTCTTGAAGGTTGCATGTTGACTACACTATTTTGTATTACCGTTTGCTTATCGACAACTATTTGCTTTATACCTCTGGGCTCGATCCACTGCTCCGGGTGGATCCCTGTAACAGTTTCATGTTTTTTGTGTGTTTCAGGTCAGCCAGCGGATGCATTCACACAGTCACCACCCGGGCCCTGGGATATTCCTGCCAAAGCACCCAGTTTTTTTGCAGATGACAAACAGCTCATCAAAGTTCCTTACACATCGTCTGTGAAGGTATATGATGTAATGCGTATTTAAAAAATAAAAACCCTCATTCACAGATTTTTCTTATTTTATGAGAATCGTTTCACCTACAGAACTGCCACACCTGTTTGGGAATGGCACGGCAACCTTGCAAAGACTGTTCTGGTGCTGGTAATGTAAGTGTTTCTAAATGGTGCTAATAAAAATTAATGGACATTCTTTGGGGGTCAGGTAATATGAGCTTCTTTTCCTCCTGACAGAAAGTTTGTTGGGTGTGCAATGGTTCCGGTTTTCGTCATGGAGATGATCGATGCCACCACTGCAATGGCAGGGGGAGGGAAAAGTATGTGGCCACAGAGTTCATTAAAAAAGAAAAAAAACACAGAGCAATTCAAGAAACTGCAGCTTTGAAATGTTTCTCTTTGACAGTTGCGGCAGGTGTTTTGGACAAGGATCGAAACAATGTGACACCTGTAATGGAAAAGGGCAGCTTTTGGTCTACATCAATCTCACTGTCAAATGGTACAGTTTCTCTAAGATCATTTAACTTTAGAACATTTCTAACCATAAAACGTGGCTCTTAATAGTCTTACATGAACCAGCAATTTGCATTTACCAATATATGTGATTTTGTAACAAAGAAAAAGTGGTATTATTGGTTCCTATTTGAATTCTTTTCTGTAAATGCAGGACTAACAACTCGGATGCCTACGTTGTTGAACAGTCCAGCGGACTTCAGCTGGAGAATCTTAGCAAAGTGTCTGGCAAGGAGCTTTTTAGAGACTCTCAGTACATGGTAAGAGTCTTCCTTGTCAGCATGGAAAGAAGAGGACATTATTAAAGTCAGAAAGCTAAAGCTAGAATATTTCTTGGATTATGTTAAGGGGATATTTCCTTGACTGGGACTCAGTGGTCATGCTTTTCGTTCACTTTTAAAGTTGTGATGTCTTGTGTTGCTGAATCCGATAGTAAGTCTGTTGTGTCACTTTTTTGCTTTGGAAAGTTGAGAAAATTAAAAAACAGATACATCTTCTAATCAGCATAGAAGGTACGACACAGAATGCATCAGCTGCTTTAACTGAACATGGGTTTCTCTGAGGTTATGACTGTGTGCCTTTAAAGTTAAGGTCAATCAGATTTGAAGTGGATGAAAGTACTTTAAAGGGTGATGGCCATTGAACACAACACCTGTCTTTGACTGCAGGTGTACCCTGTGATGGGCTTTCCAGACACTTCGGTGGTACAGGCCTCGCAGCGCCTTGTCAACGATCACCAGGGCAAATTTTCTCAGAGTTCACGCATTCTTCAACAGGTATTTTTGAATGAAATAGCTTTGAAGTAATCCAAAGCTCATTTTGTGTCCATGCAAAATGCTCATATTTGCTTTTTTTTGTTTGCAGCGTCAAACCATCGAGCTGATCCCAGTTACAAAGGTCACCTACACATGGAAAGGGGAAACGCATATTTACTTTGTTTATGGAAATGAGTTCAAAGTTAACGCAGATAATTATCCTGCTACCTGCTGTTGTTCTGTAATGTAGTAGTAGTTGGTGAGTACAAGTCATTGGAGATACAGGCCAGATTTACTTGTTTTCAAATAAGTTCTACAGATTAAGTTGGGACAATCTAATATCTGAATAAAAACACAAAACCCCAAACTGTGAAACATTTGCACAACAGTATGGACACTGAGAATTTCTAATTATTGCCAGTGTCACATTTAATTTAATTTTCAAAAAGAAAAAAAAGTATCCTTACCTTGTCTGTGTTCAGGTAAAATGGACTTATCAAGGTGGAAAAGTATTCTATTATCTGGAAAATCAATAACTTGCTTGTGGAAATCATTGGCGCCAAAGACTCCAGACATAATGAACATCTAACTTGTTAGTGTAGTTAGTCGTGTACTTGTCATGGGTCATTAGCCCACATAAATGATCCATTAATGCTACTGTATACAGGTTTGTAAGTAAAATATGCTGCCGTCCAGATTATATATTTTTTCAGGAAAGGCCTTCTTTGTTTCAGCTGAACATAGCTAAATTACACTTTTCACAACAGTATGAAATCATACTAATGAAGTCCAGGTGCTAAATTGACCAGTTAGCAGTCCAGAGCCGTCACCGACTACATTTTTTTCTTTCAACGTTCACTGTTTTGAAATGATCACAGCATCAAGGAGCATAATTTCCTAATGCAAGAAAACATCTTCCTTTCAAAATGACAGGAACTAGGTCTTTGACATAATTATGGTGAAACATGTTGAACATGACTCATGTTGAACATGTTTCACCAGTTATACTGCTCATGTTACATGAGCACACTTTTTTATGAATGGTGTAAATATACACAAACAATAGCATTTGTTTGTGTATATCATCTGTTGCAATAGCTATGTTTTCAGTTAACAGCAGATTTCTGATTTGATATTATTAAACCCTCAAAAATCAGCAGAACTGATAAAACCTCATGCATGACACATAAAATCACCTGAAATTCTGAAACCACAATATATATATATATATATATATAACCCCTCACAAATGTGTGTATCTATTTTTTTTGTAATAAGTGAAAATGATTTTATAAACTTATATTTGTAATACTGGCTTTGCGGTCCTTTTATTAAAAACTATAGTAATGTTTTGGCTCGAGTCGTGTCGTCACTAGTAGTGGACGGTCGCGGGTGAAATGACGTAAGGAACGTGTTCGCCATAATGATAATAAACGGTGAACACAAGGATGAAATAACCCAAATTAAGCTTTGCCTGTGAAACAGTGACCAATGCGTTGATATTCACCAAAGTACTGTGAAGTTGGGAGATATATTGTTCCATTCAAGTGTTGATATATTCGAGGAAATCAAGCAGGAACTGACTGGTACAACAAGGTAAAGTTAGCGTGCTGGCTAACTGGCCAGGTTCACCTGTGATGTTTCCTGCTATTTCCTTGCTGTCGCGTTGCATGTGCAGACAGGTTTGGTTCTCTCGAGGAAGATTTAAACCACGCTGATATAACTGTACCTATTGGGAAATCACAAACGAACACACAATACAACTGCTGAGTTATAAACTGCTGACTTTAAGGATGTTGCTAACACGCTAAGGGGTTAGCATCCTCGTCTAGCCACAGGATAGCTAGCCAAACATTGCAACAGGCAGCGGCTATGAACTGACTTTGCTGCTGCCTAGTGATGTTTTGACTTTGAGTTATTGTTTAGATGACTTTTTTAAGAACGGGACTTGTTACAGCCCAGCACCATTGAGTAAATATATTCATATTCAAGGCTGTTTAAAGTAAAAACCTCATCTGAGAAAAACTTTGCGCTCAGTTGTGACCGTTGCGATCCCCGGAGGACCACCGCACCTGCACGCTCAGTTTGTGTGTGAGGCACTGAGGTGCATCAGGTTGTGACGCTGTCTTGTTGCAAAAAATGTTTTTGATCACTTTATTACGCACAAGTCACAGTTCGGTTGACGCAAAGGAGGGCAGTTATGTACAGGATAATAAAAGGCACTCTGTTCTATGCTTCTGTTCTACAACAAAAACATTCGGTTGGGACGATTTTTGTACAGTGCAGACCCGTACAGAAGATTGTAAATCACACGTCTCCTCCAGGCATGAGATATATACATATATATATATAATCTAATCTTAGCTTTAGCATAAGTATATATTTAGTTGTTTTTAATGTCAGTATCTTTACCTAAAAAGGGGGAAAACATACAAACTTTAATCTCCTTATCTACTTCCTGTGGTTTGGGCAGGTTTGTAGAAAAATAGATTAGTGGTGTATAGAACATGATACATGCATGTTGTCCTGACAGACTGTGTGATGGCGTCAGCGTCTGCCAGCGTGGACTCAAAGGCAGAGTTGACTGCTCTGCTAGAACAGTGGGAGAGGGAGCAACAAGGCAGCACACAGGAGCTGGTCAACATCCTTACCAAGTAAGCAGCCATGAATTGAACTAATTTAGTCTGCTGTGATGAAATTTTGAACATAAAAAACTAGAAAGAAAATGAATGGGTTAATGCCCTGAACTTTGCAGAATCTCGGAGCTTGTTGAAAAGGAAACAGAAGAATACCACAAAGCAGACCCTGACCCTTTTGATGATAGACATCCAGGTACGGAGAAGAGGAAAATATGTTGAGAAATTGCAAGTTCACCACTGATTTAAATACTGTACATGTTTTTATTATTCCCCTTTTGTCGGACAGGAAGAGCTGATCCAGAATGTGTATTAGGCCACCTCCTAAAGATACTGTTCAAGAATGATGACTTCATGAATACAGTACGAAATCTAAGGGCTGATTGAAGCCCATTTTCTTCTAAATAATTAGCCGATTTTATCTGATTTGTCAAAAAAAATTAAAGAAAGGCTTTTGGTTGTAGTTGGTGAACAGCTACGTGATGACCAGCAGAGAATTTTCCCTAAATGCAGCAGCTTGTCGCCTGCTCCAAAACATCATGCCGGGGCTGGAGACAGCTGTGGTCTTTCAAGAGAAGGTAAGCTAATTATGACTCATGATGTTTAACTCATTGACTGCCAGCCATTTTCAGAACAGAGAGTCGCTCACTGCCAGAGTTTTTTGAGAATTTTGACTGATTTTTCAAGAGCCACAGAATAGTTTGTGCTATGACTATGTAAACACAGAACACACCAAAAGAAAGAGTAGACACTCTTCTTTCATCAGGAAAAAATTTTTTGTTTCTACCTCATTCCGTTCTTCTTCGACGTGCGTCTCACCGGCGCCATTTCTCCCATAGCGAACTATTGCGTTTGTTTTTATTTGCTTACAATCTATGCTAATCTCCCATCAAAAGTGGCACAGCTACCTAGAGGGTAAATTTGTTAGTCCATACTCTGTCTAGAAGCCGATATTTACGGGAAAACTTTCGCCGATCGTCCCCCAAGCCACTCGCATTGAAAAAAATAAAAGACGTCTATAGACGTCTTTGGCAGTCAGCGGTTGGATTTGAAAAGACGTCTATAGACGTCTTTGGCAGCGAATGAGTTAAGAGCCTAAACCAGCTCTTTTAGCTAGTGATAATACATGATAAAATGGTAAACCTCACAAAAAGAAGCAGAACGTTATTGAATGGGACAGGAGAGCGTTTAGGTGTTTTTTAATAATTTCTTTTTCCTTTTTTTTCCCGGAGCTAATTGAGTCAGCAATTGAACATGTCATTGTAAATTTAAATTTTTTTCCGGATGGCATTCAGATTTGTTTTTATTGGTATTATCCCCTTAAATGTGCTGGCTGGGTGGCTGTTGTTTTAGTCTTTAATTAATCATTTGTCATTTAATTAAAACTACCTCCATATCAGAGCATCAGATCAAAAATGAATCTGTTATTTGTTTCATTCACCACACCTCCATTTGCTCTTCTCAGGAGGGCATTGTTGAAAGGTTGTTCAAGTGGGCTCAGGAGGCAGAACAACCTCTCAGAATCTATGCCACTGGCTTGCTGGCAGGAGCCATGGAGAACCAGGACATCGCCGCCAACTACAGAGAGGAGAACTCTGTTTTGGTCAGTAAGGTTTTAGCCAGTCCCACATAGAAACACCTGCTATTGAATTGTAGAAATAAGTTTATGGTGTATTACAAGTTACGTCAACAGTCAACAGGACTCTTTCTTTTCAGTTTGTTAGATGGAAACAACCTGTAGCCTATTTTTTCGTCCTTGCCTTTGCAGGTTCCTTTGATGCTACATCGGCTGCGTGAGCTTCAGGATAAGGATGCTGAGAACAAAAGGGAAATCAAACGACCCAGCCCCAGGAAGACCCTGAGTGAGCCTTTGCTCCCTTTAGATGAGGAGACTGTTGATGGAGGCTTTGAAGAGAAGTCCTTCACACCGGGTCGAAATGGAACCGAAAAGGAAGGGTTAGGACCAGAAGAAGAGGGCGAAATTTCATTCCGTCTCAATTCCCCTCACAAGACGAGCAGCCGTGCCAGCTCAGCTGTGAAGACCATGATGAAGCCCATGTCTGCGCCCAGTTCCTTTACGCACCCCGGCATGTCTGATGGAAGCAGTTATCTTCGAAGGAGGGCAGAGAGGGAGCACACTCGGACCTCAAAACAGAAATTGAATTTCTCTTTGCCCGAGCCAGAGAGAAACTTCAGCGAGCTTTCCAACAGCAGCTGGTCTGAGATGAGCCCCTGGGTGATAGGCAACAACTACCACCTGTACCCTTTGACCCCAGAGATTGAGCAGAGGCTCATCCTGCAGTATCTCACACCTCTGGGGGAGTATCAGGAGGTTGGTCCTCATTTATCGGCTTCTTCTGTGTATAACACTGCATAGGCATATGAAAAACTAATATTAATTTGCAATGTTTTTTAATAATTTTTTATTCAAATTTCCAAAATGAGTTGTGTCAGTCTTTAAAACTGGAAGAAGTGCCAAGTATGACTTAGATCAGTGGTTTGCTGTGGAATTTAGTTGTTATGACAAATAGTATTTTGATGCACCTCTCCTTTAGATGAGATTTTATTACTGCTCATTTACCAGCAGATGTCAGACTTTCACAAAGCTGACTAAGGAAATGAACTTGTACTTTCATACAATGCTTTCATTTGAGGGAATTTAATCAGTGTATAGAAAAATTTCAACATTGAGAAATCCCTTTAATGAAAGCATATAGATTAAGGCAAATCGAGATAATTTGTGTGTCTCCACATCCTCCTGCCTGCCTACAGCTCCTGGCAGTGTTCATGCAGATGGGAGCTCGTGAGCTGCTCATGCACTATATGGATTTAAAGCAGACCAATGATGTACAACTCACTTTTGAGGCTCTTAAGGTAAATACACTATTGCATTAATTTGTTTCTGTTGCTGAGACGCAACAGCAAGTTTCTTATGCTAACATCTTTTCTCCCTCAGTATCTGGCTTCACTGCTTTTGCACAAGAAGTTCGCAGCAGAGTTTGTTGCTCATGGAGGAGTTCAGAAGTTGTTGGACATCCCTCGGCCCTCGATGTCTGCTACTGGAGTGTCTCTATGCCTGTATTACTTAGCTTACAACCAGGATGCCATGGAAAGGGTACAGAGACGCCAGTTCAAATGAACAATTTCGTCTGAATTATCTGCACTTTTCTGTAGTTTTCTTTTCAGCTTTAAATGTTTTTTATTGACTAAAGGTATAGTAATGTGTGTCATTTATTTCTAATAGTTATAACTCAGCAGAATAAAATTGGTATTATCCTTCTTAGACATTTTTACATAAAAATTATTCAGTTACAAGAATGACTTATTTTCCATAGTGATGTTGATGATAAATCTCTTAAAAATTGCGGTCGATTCAAACATTGCCACACATGTCTGGTTGCCGTTCATGTTTGTACTCATGGGTGTTTTCTCCTCTCAAGGTGTGCATGTTGCCGCACTCAGTCCTGTCAGATGTGGTTGGTTACACGCTATGGCTGCTTGAATGCTCACACGCGTCAGGCTGCTGTCACGCTACCATGTTCTTCTCCATCTCCTTTTCTTTTCGGGCTGTCCTGGAGCTTTTTGACAAACAAGATGGGCTCCGACGGCTTGTCAATCTGGTAAGACAAGCCAAAGTATTCCCTGTAACAGTGCAAACTTAGTCATCTGTATCATTAAGACTAACCAGTCTGTACCACTGTTTTCAGATCAGCACACTTGAAATTCTGAACCCTGAGGATCAGGGAGCTCTGCTGAGCGATGATGAGATTTTCTCCAGCAGGCAGACAGCCAAGCACACCTGCATGGCTCTGCGCAGGTACTTTGAGGCCCATCTGGCAATCAAGGTGGAACAGGTGAAGCAGTCTCTGCAGCGCACCGAGGGAGGTGCCCCCATTCACTCACAGCCACATTACAAGGTACATACACGACTAAGGAGAAGTGGGATGGACATAACCGGATAGTCAGTGAATTCAAATAAATATGTTTTTTATGTTCACCATGTATTGTAGCTGTTTTCAGTTTATTCATATATAATCCTGTACTGATGTTTTGTTCTGTGCTTTCACCATCAGGCTGTCAGCTATAGCCGTGAGCAGGTGGTGGAAATGATGGAGTTTCTCATAGAGTACGGTCCTCTCCGTCTATACTGGGAGCCGGCAGAAGTCTTTCACAAGCTGTCTTGTGTTCAGCTGCTCTTGCAGCTCATATCTATTGCCTGCGACTGGAGGACGTACTATGGCAGGTATTGAGATGATCTTTTTTTTCTTTTTTTTTTTTTTTCTAACTCATGACTCCATGTTTTCCTTGTGCTGGAATTCAATAGCTGACTTCTGATGACTGTTTAATGTTATTGTAGGAGCGATACCGTGCGCTATGCTCTTGACATACTCAGTATCCTCACCGTTGTTCCAAAGACTCAGCTTTTGTTGTCAGAAGCTGTTGCTGTTCTTGATGAAGGAGGATCTGCTGTTTCTACTGTTGGTGGGTGTTATGATTATTACCCAATTTGAGTCAAAATCTGTGTTTTAGACCTGAATAATGTTTAAATAATTATTAGATTGACCCAGTTATTCTTGTGTGTTGCCTGTCAGGCTGTTTTTATTCTAGAAATAAATGATTCACATCTACTATCATCTACAGAAGATCTGCATAGACTTGTGATCTGTTCAGCTAAACTGTGATATTGTATTCTTCAGTGGTTTTCATTTGTACTTTTTTCTCTCTCAGGGATGAGTATAGTCCTGGCAGTAGCAGAAGGAGAGGTATTTGTCAATGATGCGGAGATTCAGAAGTCTGCTCTCCAGGTTGCCATTAATTGCGTTTGTGCCCCAGACAAACGCATGTCCAGCATTGGCAAGTTTATTGCAGGCACCCCCCGTCGTCGCCTGCCACAGCAGAGCAAAGCCAATGAGAGCGTGCTCACCAAGATGTGGAATGTGGTCCAATCTAACAATGGCATCAAGGTAGAGCACATATACGTCCCACCAGACATACATATTTGGTGGTCTAAGCTTAAACTCTGAATAATAATGTAGCACATCTGAAGCACCTACATCAGTGTTTTACACCTCATATGACAACTGTTATTTAAATACTGATTCAGTGGTGCTCTAAGCTGCGTGAGCCGTTGTTTTTAACTTGCATGCCGTGTCTGTCGTCCAGGTGCTGCTCTCCCTGCTGACGGTGAAGATGCCCATTACGGATGCAGATCAGATCCGAGCTCTGGCCTGTAAAGCTCTGGTGGGCCTGTCTCGCTCCAGCACCGTCAGACAGATCATCAGCAAGCTGCCTCTGTTCAGCAGTGGGCACATCCAGCAGCTTATGAAGGAGCCCGTGCTCCAGGACAAACGCAGCGAACACGTCAAGTTCTGCAAGTTCGCAGCTGAGTTGATCGAGAGGATCTCTGGGAAGCCGTTGCTGATCGGTACAGATGTGTCTCTGGCATGGCTGCAGAGGGCCAGCGTCGTTGCTCAGTCCAGGATCACCTTCCCCGAGAAAGAGCTGCTGCTTCTCATTAGAAACCACCTTGTGGCAAAAGGCCTCAACGACACAGCAACCACACTGACCAAAGAGGCAGAACTCCCCATGGCTTGTCTGTCACATTCTTCACATCCAACCTCTGCCTTCCCTTCTGTCGCTCCACCGCCCCCTGCCTCTCCAGTTGCTACGTTGCCCCGTACCCCACGCCTGGCCAACGGTGTCGGCTCAAGACTTGGAAGCCATCCTTCTCATTCATCCACCCCCGCGTCCAGCCATCCGCCAGCACGCCCCTCCACATCGCAACCAGCTGGCCCGCCTTCTAACCCCTTCCCCTCTACATCGGCCCCCCACTGTAACAGCGGCTCTCCGCTGATCGGACGCATCATCTTTTCTAGAGAACGACAAGCAGCCTGTGGAACAGTGAGCTGCAAGAAGACCCGAGTGTTAAGGCAGAAGTCCGACCACGGAGCCTTCAGTCAGAGTCCAGCCATGAAGAAACAGTTTGACAGACATTTGCCCTCTCCGCCTGCATTAGACAGCATTATCACGGAGTATCTGAGGGAGCAGCACGCGCGCTGTAAAAACCCTGTTGCAACCTGCCCGCCTTTCTCTCTCTTCACTCCCCATCAGTGTCCCGAGCCCAAACAGAGACGCCAAGCACCTATTAATTTTACATCCCGACACACACGCAGAGTTATATATCCAAAGTACGGAGGAGTAGATGGAGGCTGCTTTGACAGACACCTGATTTTCAGCAGGTAGACACCGTCGTGTCATTGATTTCTTCTCTTGCTTATCAGCCTCCGTGGCCATTTCTCAACTCGATCTTATTTCATTTTTGTCCAGATTCCGTCCCATCTCCGTCTTCAGGGAAGCAGACGAGGATGAGAGTGGATTCATGTGTTGTGCCTTCTCAGCTCGTGAGCGTTTCCTGATGCTGGGGACATGTACAGGGCAGCTCAAGCTCTACAATGTGTTTACAGGCCAGGAGGAGGCCAGCTACAGTTGTCACAGTTCAGCAATCACTCACCTGGAGCCTTCACGGGTCAGTAGAGCAAGAGTGGGAGATTATGTATTGCTTTTTGTCAGTTTGGATGATTTCACTCGCGCTGAGCAGAATGTGTTCTTTGCACAGGGAAGTTGTTTTAACATATGTCTCCGGCGAGGGAAGTATCCCTGTGCCTAGTTTAAACAGGATTTTAATGAGTTTTCCAATAAGTTCTAAGGCAGGAATTCATAAGAATTTATTACTTGGAAGATAGATTTCAAATGGGGGAGAAAATGGATACAATAAAGAATTCTTCTTTATTTCATTGCAAAAAATTAAAATATATATTTATCAGAAAACATTATTTCTATGACATCAAATGTCTGTCATCTCTTACCAACGTACTTTCTACCTTTAGGATGGTTCTCTGCTTTTAACGTCAGCCTCTTGGAGTTATCCTCTGTCTGCACTGTGGGGTATGAAATCAGTGTTCATCATGAAGTGAGTGATTTATTTATTTTTCTTCAACAACGACCTTTTTATTTTACAGAATTACCAATAACTGTCATGGTTTTCTATGCAAGCACATCTTTAAATGTAATATTACCAGTTCTTTTGCATGCTTGTGAATCCTATTCTTTGAATTTTTGTGGTTAGACGTCTGGAGGCTTTATTCTAAGAAGCTGACAAAGGGAGATGTCACACTGTTTAATTATGCACACCAACAGCCTCAGGGCTGCAGCCTGCAGTTCAGGGAACACAGGCACTTAGATTCATTCATCCAAACACTTCAACATTACAACTTTTGGAATCATGAGTACTGTGATTTTATTCTGTTAGACTATTTAAAGTGCTGTGCTTTTATTTTAAGGCCATAAATGTTTGAATATCTCTTTTTGTTCAGACATTCCTTTCTTGGAGACCATTATGTTGAATTCAGTAAGCTTTCCCAAGACCGAGTCATTGGGACTAAAGAACACGTGGCACGTGTATGTATAAAAAATTGTTTTCTGAACATCTGAACATGTCATATTTAAATATAGATAATCCTGAAGGGGAATACTGAGAGCTTACTCTTTGTGCTTCTCTTTCATAGATTTACGACATCCAGACAGGTCATGTTACGCTGACTCTCAACAACCCAGACCTGGCTAACAACTACAAGAGGAACTGTGCCACCTTCAACCCAACAGATGACCTGGTACTGAATGACGGCGTTCTGTGGGATGTCCGCACAGCTCAGGCCATCCACAAGTTTGACAAGTTCAACATGAACATCAGCGGCGTGTTTCATCCCAACGGCCTGGAGGTCATCATCAACACAGAAATCGTATCCTTCCTGTTTTTTTTCTGAATGTTTACATTTTTGTTGAGGATTAAGATATCATCTTTGATAGAAAGTTTAGAAAGTCCACCTTTAAGTTCTTCTGGAAGGCCTTCTTTAGAAAACTTTGAACCATTGTTTAGTGTAATTAAACCCATCGCCGATCTAAAATATTATGTTATGGAACTCAGCAGTGCCCTTTTAGTGGGATCTGCGCACCTTCCACCTCCTCCACACAGTTCCGGCTCTGGACCAGTGCAGAATAGTGTTCAACAACAGCGGCACAGTCATCTATGGAGGTAAATACAGTCACTGCATCACTGCAGCACATTTGGCAGCAAGCCTACAACTGGTTTCACAGTCAACCCAAGTGTGTGTGAAAGGTGTGCTTGAGTAAAAAGGTTGATAATTATGAAGCAAAGTGAGCATGTGTGTATTTGCCGGGGTGTGAACTGAGCCTGTAGAGGTTAGGTGTGTGTGCGTTCGCTTGATGCTACAGAGTTACTCCGAGCCATATGGGCAGAAGGCTCCATGTTGGATTGGCAGCAGTAAAAAAACAGTTTGTGCACGGCACCTCACAGGAAGAGCCATGGCATGCAGTTACAGAGCTGCCTGTACGGTCCTTTCAACACTCAGGAGCCAGATCTATGTTTAACCAGCTTAGAGCGCTCACTTGTTATTTACTCACTCTCCCTCTTCTTTTTGCAGCAATGCTGCAAGCCGATGATGAGGACGACATGATGGAAATGCAGATGAAAAGTCCATTCGGTTCATCATTCAGGACCTTTAATGCCACAGATTATAAACCAATCGGTGAGGCTTTTTGCCTTTAATTCACTTTGTACATTTAGACATTATGTTGAAATGTTTTTTTAACTCATTGACTGCCAGCCATTTTCAGAACAGAGAGTCGCTCACTGCCAGAGTTTTTTGAGAATTTTGACTGATTTTTCAAGAGCCACAGAATAGTTTGTGCTATGACTATGTAAACACCGAACACACCAAAAGAAAGAGTAGACTCTCTTCTTTCATCAGGAAAAAAGATTTAGTTTCTACCTCATTCCGTTCTTCTTCGACGTGCGTCTCACCGGCGCCATTTCTCTCATAGCGAACTATTGCGTTTGTTTTTATTTGCTTACAATCTATGCTAATCTCCCATCAAAAGTGGCACAGCTACCTAGAGGGTAAATTTGTTAGTCCATACTCTGTCTAGAAGCCGATATTTACGGGAAAACTTTCGCCGATCGTCCCCCAAGCCACTCGCATTGAAAAACATAAAAGACGTCTATAGACGTCTTTGGCAGTCAGCGGTTGGATTTGAAAAGACGTCTATAGACGTCTTTGGCAGCGAATGAGTTAATGGCTGGGATGTTTTTTTCCCTGTCTACTACAATGTTTACAGAAATTTAAGCTTTCTTTTTCTTCTCCTCAGCCACAATTGATGTGAAGAGGAATATATTTGACCTTTGCACAGATACTAAAGACTGCTACCTTGCTGTGATTGAGGTAAACAATTTTTCATCCTTTTTCTCACATGAGGTTCTAAGATGTATATTAAAATATATAAAAAATCTTAATTCGTCCCACAGAACCAAGACTCAGTCAACACTGACACTGTGTGTCGACTTTATGAAGTTGGCCGGCAGAGACTTGCAGAGGAAGAGGAGGAGGAGGAGGAAGATCAGGTTCTAACTTTGCTCCCCTGATCTGCTTTAAGAATCACCTCTTAGGAAGCCTGAATAATTGACCTTGTTGCTTCCCCGTGTTCCAGGAGGATGACGATCAGGAGGAAGATGACGATGACGATGAAGATTCCGATGATGATGTTGACACAGATCCTCTCATCGCTGAGCTGGAAAATGAGAACGGTGGAGAGGATGAGGATGAGGAAGATGAGGACGACGGTAATGAGGAGTTCTCTCCGTCAGATGAGGAAGTGGCCCGTCTTCTTGAGGACGATGGAGACGCCGGAGATGACGACGACGATGATGATGAGGACGATGACAATGATGACGATGACTCTGATAACGAGGATGCCGATCTGGAGGGTGACAACGGTGAGTAAGGCCTGTTTTTAATATCTTTTAATATCTTGTGTTTATCCCTTTAACGTCTCTCCTCTGTGTTTTGGAAGGAGGTTGACAGTTCAGCCCTGTGTGAAATGTGAACTTGCGTTATCCTCAGAAGTCTCCTTTAACTCTCAAAGCAAAGGGGCATACACAGTGGTCTAACTCTTAAATTATGACACCGTTGGTGTTTCAGCACATTTTGTTTCTGTTCTGTACGACAAAACCATTAGAAGACCCGAGCTACTCTGTGTAGGCCTAATTAGCTAGCTGGCTTAATACCAGCTAATTGATTATGAGCTTATTAATAGATTTTATTTAGAGCGTGATGATTCTGTGGGAGCGACAGACATGTGCAACACTCTGCCTCATTTCTTTAATTACTTTTGCATCAGTTAAAAATATCTCCCAAATTGCTGAGATGGAATATTTGATCATAGGAGATTTTCTTTACAGAATGAGTTGGTACCAACCAGCTAAGCTGCATTTGAAGGAAGATATCTCATGTACATGATGTGGGGGGAAAAAGTTCAGCGTCTGCCTTTTCTTGCTTGTCTGGTAACTTTGAGGAAATGTTCTCAGTGGAGTGATAAAACTGCTCCGTCAGTTTATTCCAGAAGTTGATGTAGAAAACAACATTTGTGGGTTCCGAGCTTCTGGGCTATTCTGTTTTTGCCATTTTGGCACTTTTACTTTTACCCAATGACCTACTCAGCACAAAATATGTATCCCCTCTTTTCTGATCTGCATTTGTCTGTCACATAAACAGACAGCTCGGACAACTCTGACCTTGAGGATGACATCATCTTGTCCCTGAACGAGTGAGGAGGGTGAAGCCAGAGAATCCAGATAACCGGTCGGGTCTTTTGCCCCGGAGCGTCCAGTGGAGCAGAGCAGCAGGCATGAAAACAGGGTAAAATTGGTCCATGGCGCAAAAGATCCTTTGGAGCACTGCCAATTTGAAACAGTATATGTATGAACTCTTGGTGGAGAGTGTAAGAAAACAAAACAAGCAGGAAAATATTGGGAGGGGCGAGTGCACCGTTTGACTTAATGTTGGACAAAAATGATTGTATATGGTATAATTTTATATAAAAAAAGTGGGCATGATGAGTGAAACGATCAGTGTTTAAATGGTGTGAAAGGAAAGTTTGATATTTTCCATTTATAGCTCTTTAGCGAGCTTCTTCATTTAAAAATGATTCACTCATTTGGTAAATCTGAGTTTGGTCACAGATTAGTTTGTTTTTCCAGAAGAAACTGCTGACTTTGCAGGATTCGGTACTCTTGCAGGCCACGCTGAACCGTCACCAAAAAGATACAGAATTATTGAATTAGGCAGCTAATGTAATGCACAAACGTGTTCTGGTGATTCATTAAGCCTGGAAACCCACCCTCAGGTTTCACTGTCACCACAAGTTGACGACCAAGAGGCCACACACAGCAGTGCCATCTCTTCACCTCCTGATTTCATTATGTAGATACACATTAGATCAGCTTGGTGCTCTAATAAGGACGGAGACTGTAACACAAACCAATAACACATGTTCACTGTCGACATGAGTGGAGGAAGGATGCTAACAGAGTGCTTTGTGTTCTGTCCGGGGTCAAATAAGGATTTCTTTTTGATGGATTCTCAAAAAATCGAAACAGTATGCCAATTATTTAATAAAGATTTAGATTACACTTCTGTTTGAAAATGGAGAATTTCTCTTATTAACTGGTCTGTCAGAGGACTGACACTTGAACATTTAACTCATCTTTAGAATTCTCAATGCAGTGAGAGTATAAAACTGGTCAAACTCAGTTCCAAGCATTTCAAAAAGGTGTCCTCTCACAGGAAAGTTGAAGACTCGTCATTTTAAAAACAAATGCCTGGCACATGCCCACTTTTAGCGCTGTGCAAATGTCATGATTTTCTCATGATTTTTCGCCTTGTACCTAAAGTTTTCCTTTTTTTTATATTTTAGGAGACTTATTTTGAGTTTCGTTAAACGGTTTATGTACAGGTTGTATGTATCAGAAGTATTTTTACTATGAATAAAGTTGCAAACTTTGTTTTATGTGTCCTCTAATTAATGAAATGCCTTGATGCTTCTAAACAACGATGATCGTTCAAAGTGATTTATTTTACTGTTGAGATTGTGTGTCTAATAGAAAACATGTATTGATGTGTAATTGACACACAAATTCGACCGTTGGTCGGTCTGTGCGGGATGTTATCACATCAATAGAAGTTTCCTTTTTGCAGCAGAATAAGTTTTGCTTTACAGCAAAGTGTTAACATTTCTGTGTCAGAGCAGAATCTAGTAGCTAAAAGTAAGCTATCCGAGTCAGGAAACTTGAGACGATGAGTGACATGGTTAGATCAACTGCTGAGTGTTTTTTCTTCCTCTATAGACGCCCTGTAACCTCACACTGCATTACATAAAGGTAAAACATATCTGCTTAAGTCTAACTCCATCAGGTAATGTTAGTTATTTTGACGGACCTGGCTAGTGAGTTTTTTGTACCAAAACAAAACAAAAAAACACAAGTTCAAATACTAAATGGAAAAAAAGAAATAAGAATCATAAAGGGGATTTTTTAAATGTGTCTAAGTGTGAATGCACAGGACTGATTATTACACATGTAAAGGAGTGAATGTCAAAGCATGAGATGGATGAAATCGAAGGGCATAAGGATTTTCTTAAACTGCTCTGCTGCCACTTTTCCATTGACCTTTTCTGTGTCGGACAGTCCCCCTGTGCAGCAGATCATCACAGAGCCAGCAAAAACCATTAGAAAATCATAAAATCTCAGCATATAAATGAAGGGGCATTTGTTTGCAGTAGATTTGTGTGAGCACTTTTGCAGCTGAGATGGAAGCTTGTAATTTGTCATGTAACTTTTTAAAAAGTGTTTATTATCTGGGAAGCCTATTTAGCTTACAGCACGCCCCATTCTCCCCCTCCCTCATGTATGTGATTGGAACATCGCCCACAATGTTCCACTTGAAGTAATAGATGGGAGTCAGTCACAGCGTCATTATGATGGAGAGAAATTGCCCAACTGAACACTGCTATTCCCTCCCACACTACATCAAACTCAATGGACCCTCTGTATTTGCCAAATCTCCCCTTTCCCATCTTGTGTTTAGAAGAAGACAGTTCAATGCAGTGATTCACAAGAAATCGCAGTAACTGGCATTCATTAAGTGAGAGCTGGTTTTAAACTTAACCTCTTAATTGTGTTATCAAAATGATCATTAAGCATTTATTGGTTTTGTGGATATATTATGTGTCTTAATGGTGTTTAACCCTCTTGTTAACCTAAATCAGAATTCATCACTTGGCTAACCAAAAAAGATCCAACCTGAGCAGTTCTATTGGCAGAGTTAGTCGTGACCCTACAGAAGATGACTCACTATAGAGACAACAGATTGGTATTTTGTACACCAGGTCCACCTAAATCGTTTGCATCATAAACTATTATGAGCAAAACTTCAATGCCAAAACTGTCATTTTCTTTTCTGCTTGTCTTTCTCTTGGCAATAATCTAGAAGAAGTGAATAGAAAATAGATTCTGTTTTTTTGGGGGGGTTCTTACTATTTTGCTGTATGGCTCAAATATAGAAAAACAGCACATCTCAGAGAATATGTTGTCTCTCATCAGGATTTGTACCTTTTGGCATCTCTGGCTGAACTCAGTTTTGTTTTAATATGTCCATTTTGGAATCATTTAAATCGGTTACTGTCTTTGTTGATCCAGCGATGAAGAATATTTAAATGTACAAATATTTAAAAAACCTTAAAAGACTACCAACAGTTATCTGATGCAAAGATAATGTGAAACCCATCAATCAAAGTCAGTCCGGCTGTAGGCTTCAGCTGTGTCTCATCCGTGTAGGGGCATGACTGCACTATGACAAAGCGTCGCTGTGTAGTGGGTCTGCTTCTTGGAAATGACTCAACAAGGAGGTGTTTCCCCACATGGTGGTCTAGCCTGGTGTGTAGCATCGGGGGCTTCTCCATAACCAGCAACTTCCAAATTCACACATCCGTCCGACAAGCGCTGACTTCCATCCAGCAACCTGGAAGGCCCCCAAAAAAGAAAAAAAAAAAAGCGAAAAATCATAAAAGCAGTAGGAGTTTGTGATGGATGGAAGCGGCGTGAAGCCAGAAAACGGAGGAGGCGCGTGAATGTGCCAATGCCTGACACATCAACACTGATTTAAACAAGTCATGTGACGACCGTGAAGATGGCGCATCTTATGATATATTGCAGTTTTCCCCTTTATACGCGGGCAGGAGCCCGGCCGTGTGGACCTGCGAACGCATCTGACACTTATTAGCCACTAATTACCGAGCGATCCGGCCGGTGCACGCGCTGTCTCAGCAGCCTATTGAGGATCAGATGGAGCGGCGCGCGATTGGCTGAAATCTGCGAGGAAACGGGCGAAAACAAAAAAAGAAAAGAAGCAACGATACAGATAAGCTTCGTGGGAAAGAAAGCTCGTTAAACGCGGCCGCAACAGCACCTTTTTTTTTGTGTGTGTGTGGGGAACGAAAAAATAGCTCACCGTTGGTACGCGCGCGCCCCCCCTCCGCGTGCGTGTGCGTTACATTAGGTGGACACGGAGACTGCATCAGACTAGAGACGCACGCCGGGACGTAGCGGAGCTCGGGTACGGAGGTTTGTTGGCGGTCCCTGTTCCCTCTTCCCTGCCTGCCTGCGCACACGAACGTCAGGGCGCCAAATCGGCGGAGACATGTAGTCCCGTCTGGGTTCCGACACGGCCAAGATCGTTTGTAGCCTTCAGCTCTCATTTTCAGCAGCATCATCTCACCAAATCGACATAATGTGGCTTACTCAACCGGAGGGAAAATAACCAAATATGTGGATACCTACAGAAGAGGAGAAAATCGGAGTTGGTGAGTCGATTGCATAATTTTTTTTATTTTTTTTTGGGGGGGGGGATCGCTAATTAACTGCGTTTGGCTTCTTGCTTTCAAGAAGATTTCAGCCTTTCAGCGTGCTGACGGCGGCTTTCGCCCAGCAAACGGCCACATTTGCTCCTTTCCACCCACTGCTGGCCGTGCTGTTTTATTTTCTGCCCGTTGCATTCAGCGCAAAACACATCCACTGCTAATGGCTGATACCCACGGCCAGTGACCGCATAGAGAGGGAAATTGCGTGGGATGATACAGCCTACAGACCCACCACCTTTAAGATGCCATCGCAGTCGGTCCACAGCCCGAGGCGGAGCCTCCTGTCACGCTCCTGCTCCTCACTTTATTGGTTTTGCCCCAAAAAAAAGAAAAGAAAAAAAAAAGAATGCGACAGTGTGGCATTTCAGCCCTTTCTTCTTGTTTTGAGTCTTTCTGGATGGGGGGGTGAGGTGAGGGGGAGGAAGAGGAGGAGCGGGACAGGGGGGCGCGGCGGCGTTGAGGGCGATTCGTGTTGAAACCACAAGGGGGCATCGTGACTGCGTCCCTCCAACAGGTAGGCTGAAGTGAAGCTACCTGTGGTCCCCCCCCCCCCACCCCCCCAAACCCTGCTGCGGCTGCTGCGACAAGCTTCTGCTTACAGAACTCCTGCACATGTGTGCTCTCTATCCTCTAAAGAGAGGGGGGAAAAAACTTCCCATTGCTCCAGAATGGTAAGATGTTTATGGACAAATACAGTCCTAATGCGGGTTAGGTACAATCTAATAACCTCGGGAGACCAAGAAGGCCTCAGATATCCACTGCCGGGTCCCACTGTCGTGGCAAAAGTGAGTGCAGCGTATGCTTACTCCGTGGAGGGTTTCCATTAGGGGGAATGAGTCACGTCCAGATGCTCTACAGCTTCTTATACTTGCACAGCTACTCACGCTGGCTCGCACATGAAACTCCCCCCCACATGCACACGCCCACATATGTACACTTAGTTTGGATTCGTCATGGCCTGCTTTTTTTTATTTATATATTTTTTTTAAAAACCGCAGATCGAGCCCCCCGCTGGCAGTCCACCATAATGTGAGCACTTTTTGGTGGCTGCGTGCTAATCGCGTCGCATTTGCTCGTTTATATGTTCACCCATCCGTCACAGAATCACTGCAGTACCCCCCCCCCCCCCCTCCACCACGCACACACACACACACATCAGCATCATTTGCGAATATCCGTGGGTTTCTGGAGGAGGTCGCTCGGCGTGTGGAAGCAACAGTTCGGCGCAGCCTCCAGTCTGCGCGCTGACCTGGCGCTGTCCGTGGTGCTGGGGACGGCGCTGTCCACGGTGCTGAAATCCGGGGAAAGCAGACACCAAGCGCGGTACAGTACGTACTGTACTCTGAGAAAGCAGAAGAAATCGCCGGGAGAATTGACCAGTTTGCTTCAGATAATGTCTTGACATGCTGCGTTCAATATTCCTCCAGACATCACTGGCGACGGATCGCTCTCGAGTGGATTTTTAACAGTACAGGCAGTTCACTCCCTGTGCCCCTGCTGTCAGTTCTTCTCCCCACCTCATCTGTAGTACCGTTTTACACATTCTCCTCTCTTCTTTTCTTATTGCCTATATTGCCTGTAAATTGCCTCCGACACACAATA